TCATTTACAGATGGATTTTTTCCGTCTGTAAATTTGTCAAGTCCAGTTACAGATGGAAAAATCCGTCTGTAAATCACCAGATGAAAAGTTAGTCAAAAAGGGCAATATTTATAGACGGATTTTTCGGTCTGTAACTCCTGCTTCAAATTTTCATCGCATTTTCAAATTACAGACAGAAAAATCTGTCTGTAATTCTTGTCTCTATTATTTCGCGCCAAATGGCGGACAAGCTACAGAAGAATATTACAGATGAATTTTTATTCGTCTGTATTACAGACAGCCATTACAGATAGATTTTTATCCGTTTGTATTACAGACAGATTTTTCAGAAATTTTTTTAAAAAAAAATTCACAATTCTGTCTGTAAAGTCGTCTGTATTACAGACGGATAAATGGCCGTTTGTAAATGGCGCTTTTCTAGTAGTGTCTTTCCTGAGGCTTTGTCATCCTGATTTCCTGAAAATATTAGTAAAGATAAGCTTATATTTTATCATTTAAACATAATATTAACCTAAAGACTAACATCATAGCACAATCACAATCATAGAACACAAGACAAGGAATCATAATAACATGAATCTCAAAGCAATATATATCACATATACATATATTCCATCACAACTCATTACATTCCTCTCTTTTGGATACGCACTCCCAGTGTACTGTAATCATAATTATATGATGCCTCCAGCAGTTCTTGAGGTCTTACACAACTAGGTAAATAGTCGCTGGTTAGCCCATGCATATGGATACAACGTATACAATAAAGGGCCCCTTAGCAAAGGTATAGTCAAGAGTCTAGTCAGGAAACGAGTGTGAGATCATGTGGCGCATTCGCTCTAAGAAAAAATGTGTATACATGCGCGAATGTCACTCACCACCTTACGTTTCTCCCAGATTTCCTATTGTCTCTGAACTCTATACCCCCAGTGTATCTCTGTAACTATTCACACTAGATCCATTGAGCTTTTTACACTTATCCCATACTCCTTTTTGTACTAAAGTCGTCACTCGAGTAAAAGATCGTGCTTAGTAAAGCACTTCCAAACTAAGTTCCAAATAAGTAATATTTGAACATGACATTAACACCCAAAATCAACCAACATATCCTTCATAACAATCTAACGTCAATCAATTATAAGAATCATACAAAAATACATACATAAAATACTCTCATGGTTACAAAATATTTATTATGCTTAAAATCACAAAATAGAGTTCTCTTTACCTTAAAACAAAGTTCTGAAAGAGATTTGGTGAAAGGACCAAGATCTTCCTAAATATCACAAAAGAAAACATTTTGAGAAAGGAGAAATCTAGAAAACATCCAAAAGAGAGAACAAAGCTCCAATAACTTACTTGGAGTTGATTGATGAAGTTCCTAAGCCTGGATTCGAAAGAAAGTTGAGGTTTTGGAGAGATTTCCAGAGAAGAGAGGGTTAGAGGTTGAGAAAACAAGGGAGAGCTCGAAACTTGGATTGTAATCTAAGTTTTCTAACTTGGAAATCCTTAAATACCTTACTCACGACATTCTTGCTACAACGAGTCATTTTTTGCTACAGCAAGCCTTTCTCTCACTACAGCGAAAAGATCAGACAAAATTGCACTTTGTTGTCTGTCATTCTAGCTATAGCGAGAGCATCGTCGCTACAGTGAGAGAGCATCAGAATGCCTGACTTCTAGATGTTCTTTCTCACCACAACGAGAGATATCTTGCTACAACAAGATATTCGGCAACCTACATCATTTAAACTCTTTAAAAATCAAATAACTTTACAAATACAACCAATATTTATTTCTATAATAATAAATATAAAAACGAGGATGTTACAGAATGGGTGAGTAATTCTTTGATGTTGGATTTTACCAAATTGGTATAATACTAGTTAAAGATTTAACATTTACGTTGTGAACTAATGTGATATAGGACGCATTAGATCCTTGGAGTACAGGATATAAAGTGGTATGAGACGCCTTATGTCTTGTCTTAATGTTAAGTCAGTCTCTAGGACTACCAAAGAGGAAAGTCTAACAAGTTACTTGTAATCGAAAATATGTTTGCTTGATTAGAATATACATGTGATAGATTGTATGAGAATGATTCACTAAGAATAAGAATCAATTTAGAGGGTAAATTTTTCTTTGGCATTTTTATCATTAGAAAAAGGTCGTTACATAATGCATCTTCAAAGGTTACATAGCATTTAAGTTTTGTTATGTCTTATGATAGTTTGTCATCTATTTATTCATATTTTGTTAGGTCTTTTTCTTCACATGTTGAGCCAAGTACTTATTCTTAAGTTATGAAACATGATTGTTGAACATAGGTTGTACAATGTGAGATATATGATTTGGAGTCAAATCAAACCTAGGAAACTACATTTCGCCAAAGGACATGTTTGTAATAGGTTACAAATAGGTGTTTCAAAATAATGTATAAGGCTTATGAGATTGTTGAAAAAATATACTCAAACTTAAGATATCAATTACCACTTTCTCTCTAGTGACAAAGCTGACAACTATAAGGTTGCTTTTTTCCTTAACTTCCATTTATAATTGAAAATTGAAACAATTAGACATAAACAATGCCCTTTTTACATGGAGAATTGAAATAAGATATTTACATGATTGCTCCCCCTAGATGAAATTCTATTTAGTTAGGATAAGTTTGAAATTGAAAAAGATATTATATGGTCTTAAGCAAGCAAGTATAGAGTGGTCTACCAAATTATCATCCTTTTTACTCTTAGCTAAATATGCTTAGTCTATGAATGATCCTTCTTTATTTATCAATTCTTTTAAAGGATCTTTCATAGCATTATTAGTATACATGAATGACATAATATTAACAAGAAATGATAAGGAATATATTAGTATATGTGAATGACATAATATTAACAAGAAATGATAAGGAATAGATTGATTGGATTAAACAAGCCTCGAAAGAAGTGTCACACCACTTAGTCTTGAAAAGATTTAGAATGCATTCGACAGTGCTATGGAGACTAAAGAATTAATGGTTACTGTCTAACCTTGGGAGGAGCTTCGAGGATTGTGATTTTAACTTATGGAACTTGCTATTTTTGGTAAACACTTATACTCTCTAGGTCAGCCAGAATCGCATGATCTTTCAACAAATGCAAGAAACAGTAGGGAGGCTAGTAGTAAGGATATGGGGTGATGTAAAGGAGATTCTACGTGTCTTTCTTTTATCATCTTGATGTCACTACCCCCAAACATCCGCAGAAGTGGTTCTCTTGGGTACCACCTACAGAGGATTGGGTCAAGTTAAACTCTGATAGAGCCTTTTCTGCAAACAAATTAGGTAGCTGCATGTCGAGCAATAATCATGGATCGTCATGTACTTTCTAAAGGCTTTTGCTTGTTACTTAGGCCAACTTTGCTGCCGACCCAATGGCCAAGTTAGGACTATCCCTCACTTAATATGTAAATGTGCTTTTATTTGTACTACATTGTCTTTTTGTTTCTCTTCTTTTAAACAAGTCACATTCAATTCAATTGTAAGTAGAGGTTTTATGTAGTTTCTTCTTTTTTTGGGCTAATAGACTTTTTTTCTCCAAAAAAAGAATATATAGAAACTAAAATATAATATTGATTTTATATAAAAACTGGTGTAGTATTAATTTTATATAGCGTAATGGTAGTTTCATATAGAAATTAATTATAAGATCACTTTAAAAACTTGTATGGCACGTCAAATTTTCGTTGTACATGAGACCATCCATTTAATGCAACTATAATGGACCCAAGTAGTAGGGATGAAAATATAAGAGCAAAAATTTTAAATTTTTAATATAAATTTAATTAATAAATAAGTGTCAAATATAAGATTAAATAATTAATTTAATTTAAAAATATTTTTTCTTTATGATTACATATATTAATAATTAATACTGTAATTCCATTTAACAAATAAATTACACACATCCTTTTGTTATAATAAATATTTCTATCGTATTTTATAATGTAATAATACAGATTATAGATCCATATCTTTGTCATTTATCAAAAAATTTAAAAAAAGGTAGGTAGAAATAATAAGATCCTTATAAATTGTAAGTTAAAGTATAATTAGCAAATTTGTATGTGTATTAATTAAGTAAATATAATATTTGAAATAAAACTTAAAAGATAATTCTTAAAATATTCGCTTTAATTTTAAGAACGATGCACATTTGATATATAAAAACAGTTTTGTATGAAAGAATTTTAGAATTTTTTATATAGAATTATTTGTAATATATCTTTATGTTAAGAGATACTAAAATTGTTCCTAGCAGCAAATTAAATAATTTTTCATCCTTTATTCACTACAAATTTTACAAACATCACTATATCATAAAATTAATTTTATGATACCTTATTAGTGATGTTAGAGTTCCCCCAATTGATAAATATATGAAACAAAAATTAATTAATTAAATTGATGAGTTATGAAAAACACAACTAACAGAAAATTTTTAAATTTGAAAGAAAAATTAAGCATAAAAGGAGATGAGACTTGTAGATTAGATATAGATGTTGGATCCGATCATCCCTAGTATTGGAATGAAAGGAAAGAAAAAACCCTTTCTAAAAGGTGGATTGCTTGTTATCACTTGGGTAGAACATGTATTTGAGTTGATCCAACTTTATAACCTAATATGTTCATCATTTCCAATTAATTGGTTGATTCAATCAGTTTTTATAACATTGGCTCACGTATGCAAATGCTCCTAAAGTGAAGAAAAAATGATAATAAGATATCTGTATAATAAAATCTTATAAATTCTCATTTAAAATGAATACGGTAAGATAAGAAAAGATCATATAGCACAAAAATTGAATAAAAATATAATATTATTTATTTTTAATTCAAACTCTTTCATAAAATAAAATTTACAAAAATAAATAATAAAAATATAATATTAAATAAAAGTTTTAGAATTATGTAAACTCCGAACAAATTAATTTTAATATGTGTTTAATTTGAGAAAAATATTCCGCTAAAATAAATTGAGAAAAACGTTAATGGGATCAAACTTTCTCTTTCCATGTAACTATTTGACTATGGTGTCGTCCTCGGTTTCTCAAGTCAAACCTAAACTTGCTTGTCTCTGACTCTCTCTCTCTCTCTCTCTCTCTCTCTCTTATTCCTCGTTCCCTCCGACGATCCTCTAACGTTGCTACCTTCTCCTGCGCTTGCATTCTCCATCACTCTCTCTAAGGTTTCAGATTCTCCACACTTGCGAAGGAAATTTCAGTTCGATGGGTTCCATCTCGCACGTGATCACCACCACCACCAACCCCACTCTCACTCACCTAACTCTCACGCGCTCCCACTTGAGTTCCAGAGTCCTCCCACTGCCACGCGCCAGAGTCGCCAAGAAAGCTGGTGTCTTTGCGGAACATAGCAAGCGAAGCTCCATTTCCACCGCCATCGATTTCAGCGACCCTGATTGGAAAACCAAGTTCCACGAAGACTTCGAGGCCCGTTTCAGACTCCCCCATATCACTGACATCTTCCCCGATGCTCCTCCAATTCCTTCCACGTTTTGTCTCAAAATGAGGTTCTTTCGTTCGTTGCTCTTGTCTCCTCTGAAGTAAATTAAAGCTTACGTAAAATGGAACCTGTTTGATTGTTTGTTTGTTTGTTAATTGTTAATGCGTTTTGTCTGTGATAGAACTCCGATTGATAAAGACTTTCCTGGTCATTATTCTTCCGATGAAGAGTGGCATGGTTATATTAATAACAATGACAGAGTACTTCTTAAGGTGCGATGCTTTATATATTCATCTCTTAATGTTGAAAGGAATTTAATTCATCGGGAAGAGTTAGGTTAATCGACAGCTGCTGATTACTTGGGCTTGTGCCATTTTATGTTTTCTTTGTTCGTGATATGTGGGCTTTTCGGGTTGCTTTCGCTATTTTTTAGTCAAATTAACTGTGTTTATGCACATATTTGGTTATCACTGCTATTTGATTTGCGTGAATTAAGACTGTTTAAATTATGGTGTTTTAGGTATAGATGAAGACAGTAGAGGAAAGAGAGATAAAAGAAGATGAAAAACGCTGAATTGATATTAATTGAGATGTATTAGAATCGGATGGGATGTTCACCAAGCCTAAAGGATTGATCCTTATCTATCTTTAAAATGAGGAAACAAGTCACGAGAGAGGAAATAAGGTAACCAATCTTAAGAGATAATGAGAAAATAGGGAAACTAATCCTGGAGCATAATCTAAGATATGGTAACATATGTTTGGATATTTCATATAATCTAATCGAGACCTTAAGTTGTGCTTCCTGGTTACAGTTTGGAAAGCTGTTCACTCTCACACTTGATAACAGAATTAAGAACAATAGAAGAAGAAGAATAAATTTGTCATATAAATCTTGATATTATTGAAAGATGAAAATGATACAGTACCATAAGTCAGAACTGAAAATATCTATTTGTAGACTGTTTATTCTTCAGGCATAACCAACTTTTAACTAATTTTTTATTTCTTGACACCCCCTGCAAGCTGTGGTTGGTAGATATCTACCATGTGCAACTTGGATACTAACAACTGAAACCATGAAGGAAGAAGGCCCTTTGTGAGCAAATCTGCTGTTTGTCCAGATGTGGAGATAGGCTTTAGTTTCATCCCACCCTTATGACATTTCTCATGAACTACATTACAATCTATCTCCAAGTGCTTTGTCCTCATGAAACACAGGATTTGCAGCTATGTACAATGCAATATTGTTATCACAAAACAAAACTGGTTGTTTGTCACAGTCTATGTGAAAGATCTTTCAGCAAAAATATTAATCATTGTAGCTCACAACAGATAAGTGCATTGCAGCAGTTGATTGTTTCTTAGTTTTCAAACAGATAAGAGAATCACCTAGGAAGAAGCATTGACCACTAACTGATTTTCTAGTATCTTGACACCATCCCCAATCAGCATCAGAAAAACCTTGCAAATGTAGTGAAGATAAACGACAAAAGAAAATGCCTTTGCTAGGGCATCCTTTAAGGTAATGCAGTACCCAGTGAGCAGCCTTAAAATGTGCCATTGTCGGTTGAGAAAGAAATTGATTCAATTGTTGTACAGCAAAGGTATGTCAGGTTAGGTGGTAGTTAAGTACAACAGCTTGCCAACCAGTCTTTGATAGTGTGGAATATCATCATACATAGAACCTTCATCTTGATACATAGTCAACACCCTTTGTTTGAGCGTACCCGTTTGCTACCAATCTTGCCTTGTAAAGCTCAATAGTACTATTTGCTTGTCTTTTGATTTTGTAAACCCACTTGCTATCAAAATCCAAGTTTTGTTCATATCCAACGTGCTTAATTAATTTTTCGTAGCTTCAACCCAATTAGGATCTCTACAAGTTTTAGCATATGTTTCAAGTTCAGAATTAGATGGAAGTGATAAAGCATAAGCACGATGTGAAGATGAGAGGGGCTCAATTGATAAAAAGGAAGAAATTAGATAAGGTGTGATGTGTGGCAGTAGAGTTGCAATAATAGTCAATGAAGTGCTTTGGCTTGTGTGTTATTCGAGAGGATCTTCTGTGGGCAGGGCTTGGCAAAGAATGGAAAGGTGAAGCTGCTTGAGAATTTGTGATTGAAGGAGAAATTGAAGGTTCTACATCAGGGTCATGTGAAGTGTTATCATGATTACGCATTGTAGAACCCAAGTATTGCCAAATTTGTTGAGCGACACCATTTTGCTGAACCTCACTAGGAAATATGAGCTCATGAAATTCAGCATGGCATGAAACAACAATCTCCTAAGTGGATAAATCATAAGCAATATATCCTTTCATTCCTGGTTTATAACCAAGGAATACACATTTATGCACCCAAGGAGCAAACTTAAACCTATTTATTCCAGAAGTAGAAATGTAGTATAAACAACCAAATATCTTAAGTTCGTTAAGGCATAGCAGTTTACTGTGTAATAGTTGATAAGGTGATTTGTCATCCAGCAAATGTAGATAAACAACATGAGCAACAGTATAACTCCAGAAAGTGGGAGGAAGCTTAGATTGTATAAGCAATGCTTGAACTATATTGAGAATGAATTGATGTTTGCATTCAACACATCCATTTTGTTGTGGACTTTCAACACAACTTGTTTGATGATGAAGTCATTTGCTGAGATAATATTGCGGCATAACAAATTCTTGCTTGTTGTCACATTTGCAGTTTTGATTAAGCTATTAAATTGCCTTTCCAAAGCAAGAAACTGTTGAACATAAAGCTGAACTTCAGACTTACCTTATAGTAACACAACTGAAGTAAAATGACTGTAATCATCCACAATTGTTAAAAAATATCTATGATTATTATGTAAAGAACTAACATGAAATGGACCTCAAATATCCATATGCAATAATTCAAAAACCTGAGATGCGAGACTAGGATAAAATTGAAGCTTCTTTTGCTTAGCAAAATGACATGTCACAAAATGCATCTTTATTTATTTCAATTGAAGGAAAATCCTTAGAAAGCATAGCAGGCCTATTAGTAGAGACATGACCAAAACAAAAATGCCACAAGCCACTCTTAGGAAGAGAAACAGAACTATTAATGAGATGTACATAGGAAAATTTATAATGAACAGTAGAATCAAACTTAAGGTAATATAATCCATTATGTAGCTCACTCAAACCAACCATCTTCATACTCTGGTCCTGTATTGAACAAAAATCACCACTAAAGATTAAATTGTATTTTGCATTTGAGTCAGCTTGGAAATTGAAACCAAATTGAAACTGAATTGGGGAATAAACAATACACTTGCCAATGTTAATTTCTTTGTTTTGTGTATAGTGCCACTTTAGCCTGCAGTAATAATGCTTCCATTTGGTAATTACATAAATAGGGTTAATTTTTCTGTAAGAAGTGAACCAATTAATTAAATTACAAATATTATTGGTTGCTCCCAAGTCTATTATCCAGGACTTAGAAGCAGAAATAGTACAAGTTAGACATAGACTACCTTCTATGTTTTGAGTTTGACCGAACACTGAACAAACTTGATTGATTGGAGAATCTCATTTGCTTTTGGTCTGCTACAAAAGAGCTAAGAGTCCTTTGTATTGTTCATGTGTAAGTATTGGAGCTGAGTCTTTTGTGAATGAGTCATCACTATTTCTTGCTTCCTCTTGATCAACAATAGCATTATTTATTATTGAATTACCTTTAAACTATGATCCTTGTGGAAATCCATGCTTCTGATAACACGTCCACGGTGTGGCATGATTTTCCACAATGTGTACACATTTTTGTGGTTTTACCTTGTAAAATCATTCTCCTTCTGGTGCTCCAATAACAACTTGCGGTTTAGTTTCTGGACTTAAACCATCTTTTGTATTGAATTATCATGGAAAATACTCTATTTAAAGGAGGAAACAGATCCATAAAAAGAATTTTTTATCAACCAATACCAAATTTGTCATTTAATCCCATAAAAAATATCATAATACAATCTTCTCGAAATTCTTTTCCTGCTTGCAAAGCACCGCATCCACACTTGATTGTACAGGTGCAAGATGGTAAGAGTCTGAAATTCTCTAGTTCTTCCTAAAGTAACTTGAATTCTGTGAAGTAATTTGTAATAGATAGGGGATTCTGTTTAAATGCATACAGTTCTTGTTGAAGTTCTGCAATTTGAACCTTGTCTCCCTGAGAAAATTGTTCACTTAAATCTTTCAAAACCTGTGAGGCTTGATCAACAACAATAAAGCTCTAAGCTATGGAAGGGGTAACTGAACTCAGCAGCCAAGAATGAATTAGATTATTGCATCTCTCGCAAACTTGGATAAAATTTCTCTGGAATAGGAATGGTATCATCCAAGAATTCGAACTTATTCTTAGAAATTAACGCTTGTTTCATGGATTTTGCCCATGCATGATAATTGTTGCCTGTGAGGACTGGATTCACAAGAATACTTGTTGGATTCTCATTCGAATGAACATAATACAGAGAAAACTGATTTTGCGATGGATCAGAAACTAGATTCTGAGTTTGTGCACCATGATTTTGACTTGAATTCCCTTGGGCCATTGAGAAAGATTTGCACAGCAGAGATCCAATGGATCTATACCATAACAGAATTAAGAACAATAGAGGATGAAGAATAAATTCCTCTTATAAATCTTGATATATTGAAAGATAAAAATGGTACAGTACCATAAGTCAAAACTGAAAATATCTATGTATAAATTGTTTATTCTTTAGGCATAACAAACTTCTAACTAATTTTTTATTTCTTGACACTTGAACTAGTTCATTCAGTTTATGCATGCTTTTTAACTTATCCTTGCATTGGTATGTCTTCTGTAGACAGCATATATAGTTGAGTTGCAGTGCAATGCTAATGTTGGATATTGATTGATGCTCCATTCCATTGATTTTTATAATCATGTGGCACTATTAACTTTCTGTTTGCTTTTGTCTTTCAGACAATATACTATTCTTCACCTACGTCTGCTGGTGCTGAGTGCATTGATCCTAATTGTACTTGGGTGGAACAATGGTAAAGCACTTGATTTCCCAAAAATTAAAATGAAATATAATGATTGATTAAACTTATAATAGTCAATTAGATATGATTGTTTCTATTTTGCTGTGTACTGTCTAGATTTGATATGTTCGACAGGGGTTGTGTGTTCAATAGGTGGCACTGAAAACTTTATCATACTAATTTTTTTTTTAAAGTTCCATTTAAATTTTGAGAAAATTTAGGGTTGAGAATTTAATGCCCCTTTCTTGCTGCATATAACCATGATGATTATGATGGTTAAATCAATATCATTGTGCCTGCTCATAACCATTCAATTACTCTTAACCTTTGATGTTTTCTTGCATGTTTTTGCTAGAATTTTGTGCATCTTTCTCAGTTGTTAGAATTTTGTGATTGTTTAGGAATGTCTAGATACAACAGCTAAGCCTTATCTCACTAGGTGAGATTAGCTACATGAGTTAATCAGTTCTATTAGGCTTTATCGGTAACAAAATTCTCCATGACATAAATATAAAATGATTCCTTCTATTTTTTTCCTTTAGTCTTAGTGGATTTTCTTTAATTTGATCCACCTTTTTCTCATTTGAGCTTCTATTGGTCCTCTTCTTTTTAGGCAAACTACTTAGGCCAGTTTTCATAATTATCTAAATGGTTGTTCCTTTAAATTTTTATTAGATGCATTCATTCTTAAACCTATATTTCTTGTTTATCCACTCATCAATATCAGATCTATCATCTTGCTATTGCTACTCTTATTTGCTTTTCTTAGCACTTCATGGCTCAACATTCACTACCCTAAAGCATAGTAGGCCATATAGTTATCCTACGGTCTTTTCCTTTGAGTTTGTTACACACTTTGTGGTTACAAAATTATTTCTGAAGTAGTTCTCCTTTTGATTCACCCTACCTGAATTCCATACATGAAATCCCCATCAATCTTCCCATCACTTTGTAATATGTATCTCCAACTTGTTGTATGATGTGATCTCCAATTTTCACCTCCAAAACATTGCTGACTGGCATCTTACAGAGTTTCATTTTAAACACTCTTTTATTGTATTGGCATCTCAAAGTTTTTACTTGCAAGGTTGCCTAATCCTACTATTAGTGTATAACACTATGCGGTTCTTTTCTGATATGATAGGCAATACTGAGATATTACTTCACAAATGCATATATCTTATTTTGGTGCTTAATATTGGCTTGGAGAAAATAACACAAATTGTACAAATTTGTTTGGTTGGCATCTGAAAATTTGATACACTATTTGCTAACTGTCAAATAATGATTCCAAAACGGTCAGAATTGTTGGACATTAGGATGTGGAAATCACAATCACTTTTGAGGGTCTTGCAAAGGACACTAGTTAAGGAATAAATAAACAGAAAGTTTTTATTGAATATCACATTGGGGGTGCATTAGAAGCCGGGAGAAGTGCATCGTTAAACTTTTCAATAAAAAGTTTCCACTTTTGATGCACTGGATAGCACTTGCTCAGTTTACTGCTTTTCTAGTAACAGTAATTATTTTTTTTCTTTTAAATTCAAATAGTTGTTTTTCTTCTAGTTTCTTGTTTCAACTTTTTGTTTGCCTTGGTGATGTGTATACAATGTCATTTTCTAATACTAGCGATGCTAAATGCTTCTGCAATCATTTTAGGGTTCATCGAGCTGGGCCTCGGGAAAAGATATACTACAAACCAGAAGAAGTCAAGGCAGCAATTGTTACTTGTGGTGGACTATGCCCTGGTCTGAATGATGTCATCAGACAGGTTAGTTTCTGATTACATTCTTTCATATTGTTTTGGCTTTTTTGTATTGAATGGAATAAAGCCTAGCTGGTCCTCTGGAAGTTAAGTTAGTGAAAAGTTATTAGATATTAGTAAGTCTTTAATTTGTGTTGATTATATCTCCTGACTATTACTATTAATCAGTCACTAAATTTTCTGGGCATTAAAATGCTAGTGCCTAACATGTTGCTAATTGTTGAAATGTATTCTTTGCTTTCATGAACTGTCTTAAATATGTCATAAGCTTCCTCCCCTTTTGCATTTAGGTATAAAATTCTAAATCGATTTGTATCATGTAGGGTAAGATGTTCCTATTTAAGCTCTCTCTTAAACTTAGTTCTAGTTATTTTGGTCACTGTATTATTTCTCAGTGTAATTGCTTCAGCTATTATTGTCCTGCAGATTGTAATCACCCTTGAAATATATGGTGTAAAAAAGATTGTGGGGATTCCTTTTGGTTATCGGGGATTTTCTGACAATGAATTGACAGAAGTGCCGGTAATCTCATTCTTCCCTTGCTGATTTTGGTGTAAGATCAGTTGATTCATCTAAAGATATAGTCTATAGAATGAGTTCTTCCTCATTAATCTTACTATATATATATATTGGGTTTTCATTTGCAGTTGTCAAGGAAAGTAGTGCAGAATATTCATCTTTCAGGTGGAAGCTTGTTGGGAGTGTCACGAGGAGGACCTGGAGTCGGTGATATTGTGGACAGTTTGGAGGTGGTGGATTGATCTGATCTTAAAAACTGATTAATGATTTCACAGATATGGCTTTTATGATACGAGGTGGTAATTTGTGTGATGTACATTCTCCGATATGCATATTATTGATTTCAGGAAAGAGGGATTCACATGCTTTTTGTATTGGGTGGAAATGGCACACATGCTGGTGCCAATGCTATTCACAATGAGGTTGTTAATCCGTGAACTTTTTATCACTTGATTATGTTAATATGTACCACTTCGAAATCAACTAAGAAAATGGTCAGAATACTCCTTATAAAACACAATTCTCATTTTCTATGCTAGGCTTTAGAGTTCAGTTAAGGCCAGCCAAATTTATGGAAAGTTGTGTTCAAATTGGCTTGACTTACTGTGCCTTTTTATCCTTGTTCAGTATTTGGTGTTGACATTAAGCTGTCTGTTGATATTCTGTTATTTAACATGCAAATTATGGGTGATATTGTAAGATGTTCAACAATTTTAGAAAATGTTTTACGCCTGTCATGCAAATTTGTGGTTCTTTCATGAACTGAGATTTTTTGTTTTTTGCAGTGCCGCAAAAGACAGCTTAAAGTATCTGTAATTGGAGTGCCCAAAACTATTGACAATGATATTTTATTGATGGACAAAACTTTTGGCTTTGATACTGCTGTTGAAGAAGCACAAAGAGCAATAAATTCTGCATACATTGAGGTATTTTGTCTCTTATTCCACATCATGTGGACTTGGATCGTTGATAGTTTCTAGTCAGTACAATTGTACATGTTAAAATATTTACATATTTTCCCTTATCTTTTATTAGGCACATAGTGCATATCATGGAATTGGGATTGTGAAATTGATGGGCCGTAGCAGTGGATTCATAGCAATGCAGGCATCCCTGTCTAGTGGACAGGTTGACATATGCCTGATTCCTGAGGTATATATGATAAAAGTTAGTTGGATGGTCTCATTTTCATCTTATGCCTATGAACTTATTGTAGCTTTGACATGGTTCCAAGGTACCTTTCAATTTTCATGGACCTCATGGAGTATTGAGTCATCTCAAGTACCTTTTAGAAACAAAGGGATCAGCTGTAGTTTGTGCTGCAGAAGGAGCTGGACAGGTGATATAGTTCATTCAATCAATGCGACATTAACAAATTAGCAATATTTTCATTAAATCTTTGCTCTTGTTCTTTGAAGCCTTTTTCAAACGTAAAAGTTTAAACTTGCTTACCGATTCTTATGCAGAATTTACTCCAAAAGACTAATGTTACAGATGCTTCTGGAAATGTTGTATTTGGAGATATTGGAGTATATATTCAACAAGAGGTTTGTATTATACTTATAAATAGGTTGACACTTGATGATAGAAAGGAAATATACTTTTTTAATTGTTATACCTAGTAAATTTTGAAACAAATATGAAGAAAGAGCATCTAAACTGGCTAGAATTACTATCAAATTAGTGAAACACTAGCTCAATGTATGTGGATTATAGCTAATTTTCAATTTCTTCATGTTCTTAACCAATCTGTATTTTAGATTATCAATCTATGACTCTCTTTCTGATTTTGGTCTCTGACTAATCAAAACTGAACATTTATTTTGTAAATATTCATGTTCAATTTGAAGCCATAAGAAGTGAAGTCCTTGAAATGAAGGATGATGCTATCTATAAAGCATAAATTTCCACATTTTAAGTCAACAATTATGTAACTCTGATTGCATGAGTAGAATGTTCAACTTAATATCTTTCCATTTGTTTGTGATGATGCTACATTTAAAAGTTACTATTTTGTAACAATCAACTCTTTGCTCTTACGCATAATGTTAGGATCCTAATTGAAAAGTAGGAGACTTGAGTCCCACATGGGAAGTATAGGATTCCAATGTGGGATTTATAAGATTTTGGGTTCTCCTGCTACTATAGCTAGCTTTTATGGTATGGTTCTTCCAAGGTTCTTATCAATTGGTATCAAAGCCTTTCACCATGTCTCCCCAATTGCAAACGAGTGGTGCAAGTGGTGAAGCTAACATTGTAGTGTTCGCCCAGGACTAGTCAATGGGGCTATTGCACAGCCAGCCCACACGAGCACTGTGGCTGCGGAGTGTGGTGGTATGTTAGGATCCTAATTGCAAGATATGAAATGTAAGTCCCACATTGGAAGTATGAGATTCTAATGCGGGGTTAATAAGGCTTTGGGCTCTCCAACTACAATAGCTAGCCTTTGTTGTATAGTTCTTTCAAGGTTCTTATTACATAATAATTTTTAGAAAGAAGGGAAAGTTTTCGCCAAAAAAATCCTATTCTCAAAGCTTAGATGCTGTAACATAACATAAAAGATAAAACAGCTCATGATAGTGCTTTTTTCTTTTTCGTACTTTGATAGATTCAAACATTTATATTGTAGGAGAAAGAAGACTAGTCAGGAAATAAAAGAGTAAATAACCAATTCTGTTAATAGTGGACAGCTGGCTCTTTTACCAATATAAATAAGGGCCAAAGATAGTTAGGACTTCAGTTTTTTCAGTTGGAATAGAATAGACTGGTCTAGAGAGTGAGGTCTCTCGAATTACCTCAAGTTATTGGAATCTTGTAACAATTCTTCCTATTCCTAATCTGTACTACATTGGTGTAGAATTGGGAATTAGGTTCAGCAATAAAGAAACATTCTTTCATATGCAGTTTAACATTTGGTTCTATCAACTGGTATCAATGCACTGATCCTGGTGCTAAACGACGATCTTGGGGGAAATTGATGCATGGGAAGAACAAGAATGGAGGCAAGGGTCAAAAGCTTGGAGTGCACACTGCACGATATTGGAGTCGAGATCGTGATTTTCAAGAAAATGTGCAAGACGAAAGATTGTAGAAGTTGGAGATATGATTTCAAATCTCATAGAAGTTGTAGGGGAATTGTCGCGGAGGAATCAAGGTCATGGAAGAGATCACAGTAAAGAAAGAGATCGCAGTCACGGAAGAGATCAAACAGCGGGAAATTCAGATTCTTATTCAGAATGAGAGCGACCGAGTCTGACAAAAAATATGCAATGGCAAAAACTCGAAACTCCTATTTTTACAGGTGACGAGGCATATGGGTGGACGAATCATTTAGAGAGATATTTTCAGTTGAGGGGAGTCCAAGTAGAAGAAAGGATGCAGGCGGTTATGGTAGCAATGGAAGGAAAGGCATTGAATTGGTTTCAATGGTGGGAATCTTGCAATCCCAATCCTACGTGGGATTCATTCAAAACAGTGGTAGTAAGGTGATTTCAACCAACGATGATGAAGAACCCTTTCAAAATTTTGCTTGGGCTGAAACAAACAGATTCAGTGGAAGAGTTTGTCGAACAATTCGAGAAATATGCAGGTTTCTTGAAGGGAATTAATCAGGACTATTTGGTGGGAATTTTCTTGAACAGTCTTAAAGAGGAGATCAAAACAGAGGTAAAATTGCACAAACCCGACAATTTGGCAGAACTAATGATGAAAACCCAAATAGTGGAGGAAAAAAATCAGGTTACAATGAAAGCAGCAACACAAGGGAACAAGACAGGTAATTCGTTCAGGTCATACACTGGGACACAAAGTTATACCGGAGAAACAGGGATGCAATCATCAAATTTCAGCAACAATAAAGGGAAGGGGGAGAGTTCTGACATGGCAAGCAGCATTGGCAGTAACAATCAAGGAGGGAACTGAAACAGAGGTGCAGCTTTTAAAAAATTGACAGATGAAGAAATGCAAGATAAGATTAAAAAGGGATTATGCTTTCAATGTGACGAAAAATTTGGTCCGAACCATGTATGCAAAAATAAACAATTACACATGATGCTTATAGAGGAACAGGAACAGGGGGGACAGAGACAGTGATGGGGTTGGAATGGGAAGAAGAGGAAGAAAAAGGGGCTGACGATGGCTGGTTTGACGTCTAGAAATTCTTAGAAGGTATGGGGAAGGATAGGGGAGGAGAAGGTGATAATCTTGATAGATTGTGGAGCTTCCCACAACTTCATATCCCCTGAATTGATGAAAAGATGCAATCTAGTCAAAGAAGAAACTCTTCCCTATATGGTGGAGGTAGAAGATGGACACAAGGTGAAATGTCAAGGGGTCTGTAAAGGGTTTATACTGGAGTTGCAAGGATTAAAAATTAATCAAGATTTCTTCCTGTTTAAGCTTGGGGGAGCAGACTTAGTTTTGGGGCTGGAATGGTTGGCTAGTCTAGGAGAAGTTAGAGCTGATTTTGGCAAGTTAACTCTGACTATTGGGCAGGGACAGCAACAAGAATTCTAGTAGGAGATCCAACCTTGTCCAGAACCAAAACCTCAATGAAGATGATGATGCAAGAATTGAAAGGAAGAGGAGAAGGGTATTTGGTGAAATTAGTAAAAACTAAACATTCAGAGGAAACAGAGGCCATCCCTACATTCATTGAGGAAGTGTTGCTGCACTACAACGATTTATTTCAGGATCCAAAGGGCTTACCTCCCAGCAGAAACCATAATCATGCTATATATTTGAGAGAAGGAGCATCTATACTGAATATAAGGCCATACCATACTGATACCCTCATTATCAGAAAAATGAGATAGAGAAGCTAGTGCAGGAGATGTTGAAGGCAGGGATTATAAGGCCTAGCATTAGCCCATATTCTAGTCCTATTATTCTGGTGGAAAAAAAAAGATGGAGGGTAGAGATTTTTTTGTAGATTATAGGGCTCTGAATAAGGTCACAATCCCCAATAAATTTCCAATCCTTGTTATAGAAGAATTATTAGATGAATTAGCAGGAGCTACATTATTTCCTAAGCTAGAGTTGAAATCTGGTTATCATCAGATTCTAATGAAAAAGATGTGGAGAAGACTGCTTTTTGAACACATGAAGGCCACCATGAATTCTTGGTGATGCCGTTTGGTTTAACGAATGCACCATCCACTTTTCAAGCTCTCATGAATGAGGTACTTCAACCCACTGTTGCGCTGCATTTGTCCCATTTGGAAGAGGTATTGCGGGTATTACAAGTACACAAATTGAAGGTGAAGAAGAAGAAATGTACATTTGGGCAGCAAAGTCTAGAATATCTAGGCCATATTATTTCAAAGAAAGGTGTCTCGGCAGATCCAAAAAACGTGGAAGCAATGTGGCTTTGGCCCATTCCTAAAGATCTCAAATGTTTATGGGGATTTTTGGGTTTAACGGGTTATTACCGAAGATTTGTGCGTGGTTATGGAAAAATCGCTCAACCTTTGACTCAGTTATTGAAGAAGGATGGCTTCAAGTGGAGTAGAGAAGCACAAATGGCTTTTGAGGAGTTGAAAACAGCAGTAACCCAGCTACCTATTTTGGCAGTCCCTGATTTTGGGAAACCTTTTGTTGTGGAGACCAATGCTTCAAGTAAAGGTTTAGGAGCTGTCCTGTTACAAGAAGGTAAACCTTTAGCCTTTTGGACTCGAGCACTATCTAAGAGAGGGCAGAATAAGTCAGTTTATGAAAGGGAATTGATAGCAGTGGTGCAAGCTGTGCAGAAGTGGGGGCACTACTTAATGGGCAATCGTTTTATCATTGTTACGGACCAAAAAAGTCTCAAATTCCTTACTGAACAAAGATTACTGACAGAGGAACAGTTTAAATTGGTCTCTAAATTAATCGGATATGATTTTGAGATTAAATATAGGCCCGGAAAAGAAAACTCCACCGCAGATGCACTTTGCAGGAAACCCATGTTTTCAACAATGACACTGTTGCAATTTGATGAATGGGAGAATTGGGATAAAGAAGTTCAGAAAGATGCTCGCTTACAAGCAATAATGCAGGAGTTACTAGTTGACCCCAATACAAATGTTGGGTACACCATGAGAGGCAGCAAATTTTACTACAAGGGAAAACTGGTTCTGCCTAAACAGTTTTTGAGGATTCCAGCCATCATGAATGAACTCCACAGTTCACCAATCGGGGGATATTCAGGTTATTTCAGAACTTTCAAAAGGGTGGCTGGGGTGTTATATTGGGAGGGAATGTGGAAAGATATCAAAGAATTTGTGATGCAGTGTGAGATTTGTCAAAGAAATAAGCACAAGATCCTCTCCCATATAGGATTATTGCAGCCACTGCCTATCCTAACGCAGGTTTGGTCGGACATTTCTATGAATTTTATCTGTGGATTACCCAAGGCTCAAGGTAAAGATACCATCATGGTTGTAGTGGATAGGCTTACTAAATATGCCCATTTTATGGCACTCAGTCATCCATTCACAGCAATGGAGGTAGCTCATACTTTTGTGAAAGAAGTGGTAAAGTTACATGGGTTTCCTTCCACCATTGTCTTTGACAGGGATCAAGTATTTTTGAGTGCTTTTTGGAAGGAATTATTCAAACAAGCTGGCACTAAATTGAACTTTAGCACTGCTTACCATCCTCAATCTAATGATCAAACAGAGGTAGTGAACCACTGTTTAGAAACATATTTACGTTGCATGACAGGGTCTAAACCCAAACATTGGCCTGAGTGGTTGAGCTGGGCAGAATTCTGGTTCAACACTAGTTACAGTGCTTCCACCAAGATGACTCCATTCAAAGTTTTGTATGGCCAAGACCCTCCACTTTTGTTAAAGGGGACTACTATTCCATCTAAGATTGAGCAGGTCAACCAGTTACAAGAGCAAAGAGATGAGATTTTGAAGGAATTGCAGAATAATTTGTGTAAAGCTCAAGATCAAAATAGATTGCAGGCAAATAAACATGGACGTAATGTTTTTCAAGTGGGTGATTGGGTATTCTTGAAATTACAACCCTATAGACAGAGATCTTTAGCTAAAAGGCATAATGCTAAGTTGAGTCCCAGATTTTATGGGCCTTATCAGATTATGGAGAAAATTGGGCTGGTGGCTTACAGACTGCAGCTCCCAGAAAACAGTCATACACATCCAGTTTTTCATGTATCACTCCTTAAAAAGGCTATTCATCCAACTACAACAGCACAGCCTCTACCCCCTATGTTGTCTGCAGAGTATGAACTGGAAGTAAGTCCTGAAAAGCTGTTGGAGACCCGTCAAACTGTGGCAGGTGAAACAGAAGTCCTTATCAAGTGGAAGCAGCTGCCAGATCATGAGAATAGCTGGGAATCAGCTAGCACCATTCAAGACGCTTTCCGAGTTTCACCTTGAGGACAAGGTGGCTCTTTTAGGGGGGATATTGATAGATTCAAACATGTATATAGTAAGAGAAAGAAGACTAGTCAGGAAATAAAAGAGTAAATAACCAATTCTGTTAATAGTGGACAGTTGGCTCTTTTACCAATATAAATAAGAGCCAAAGATAGTTAGGAGTTCAGTTTTTTCAGTTGGAATAGAATAGACTGGTCTGGAGAGTGAGGTCTCTTGAATTACGTCAGGTTATTGGAATCTTGTAACAATTTTTCCTATTCCTAATCTGTACTACATTGGTGTAGAATTGGAAATTAGGTTTAGCAATAAAGAAACATTCTTTTATATTCAGTTTAAAATTTGGTTCTATCATACTTCCTGGTGAGTATGCTTTGGGCGAAATAGAAAGCTAATTCTTGAGTTCATTTTGAGATGAGTGAGACATGAAGTACTTTGAACCTTTCAATATTTAAAACTTTTAATTTTAATTTTCTGATCTGGAGCTTTTTCTGACTATAATTTTTGTTATAAATAAGAATATTCAAATCAAATTTTTAGGTGTACTACAAATATCAAGCATTGTTTGTTGCTGTGGTTTCTGGTGTATATTGTATTATTATTGTATTCCTATGGTGAACAAATGTATGTTCTTTTGTAAAGAAGATACCCACCTTCATTTGAAATTTTTAGTTTACTACATATTTTATGCTGACAAATGTTGTATTTCAGACAAAAAGATATTTCAAGGAGACTGGTGTTCACGCTGATGTGAAATATATTGATCCAACGTATATGATCCGGGCATGTCGAGCAAATGCATCAGATGGAATTCTGTGCACTGTACTTGGACAAAATGCTGTTAGTCATTCTCTCTCTCTTTCTCTCTCTACCTTTTTTATATTGTTACAACAGCATAGAGGTTTGAACATATGACCAGATTCAAACAATAACTAAGCTTTATCTCATTAGGTGAGATTGGCTACATGGATTATGCTATGCCATTGAATTCGGTCAAAAATCAAATTTTCATAAATTTGGTTAATCAAAAAGTCTTTTAATAATGGTCTAAAATTCTTTTGGGTCTCCCTCGACTCCTCTTTATCGGACCAGGAGTCATTGAATCCATTCTCCTTATTGGTGCCTCCAAAGGTCTTCTCTGCACATGACTGAACCACTTTACATAAATTTTAGTCATCTTTTCCACCATAGCTGTTACTCCAATATTCCCACGTATACTATTATTTTGTATCTTGTCCTTTTTGGTTTGTCCACCTTCACATTCTCATTTCTATCACTCCTACTTTGTTTTCGTGTTGTTCTTTTAAGGCTCAACATTCACTCTTATATAAGATAGCTGGTCATATCACAGTACCGTAAAACTTTCCTTTCAACTTAATAGGTACTTTATGGTTACAAATAACTTCTAATGCCTTTCGGTGCTTTAATCACTTGATAAGGTGAAGATTCTGAAATTTAAATTATGTATTGAATTGGCTCAATTGAGCAGATATTACAGCAATGGAAAGTGAGCTCTCAAGTGGCTCAACACCCTAAGTCTGAAATAATTTTCCTAGACCCCATTTCCCTCTGTAATCCCCTTATTTAAGCTGTTATGTTTCCTAAAATCATGCTCCTAGCTACTATACCAGAAAATAACAAAAGGTAACAAAAAACAATAACAAAAGGAAATCCTAAACTACTCAAAACAGAACATAACTTATTTCCTAATTCCTCTCCTATAGTTTTGCCGCTTGTAAACTTTCAAGCCTTCAAGAAACTTGTCTCTAACATCACTCAACATGTATTTTGTGAGTAATATCTTCATTAATGTTCCTATGATTCTATATAATCAATTTCAAGTACCTAAAACTGGAAACTTGTGGTCTAATCATAGTAGTCAATCTAGGATAGCGCCGCAGAGCGGCCGACATAAAAAACGCTATAGCGGCATGGCAGGATGACCGTGCTATTTTGAAGTTCTAAGTATTACCTAATATAAAATTAATATCCAAAATAGAGCAGGAAAATAAATACAGAAAAAGAAATAAAAAAACAAAGAAGGAAATAGAAAACAGATAAGGAAATAAGAAAAAAAAGAATTAGTCCGTCATTGGAAAATGTGCAGGTGTGTTGAATGTTTCATTAGAGATGAAGATGACCGGAAATGTCTGGGTCACGTCTAGTGTTGTTAAAAAACGGTTATGGCGGCGCCATGGTAGAATGGCGTGGCAGATCTTCGTGGCGGCTATTACGTGCATGGCGATAATGACAGCCATGGTGAAAATGAAGGAAATATGTATTTTTGGTAGAAAAATTGAATTTTTTGCAAGTTTGGGCCAGCAACCTGACTCGGTCCAGACAACTCAACCCTAAAGTTAAGGTTTTTTCCTCTCTTCTCCCCGTGATCTCACACTCTCTCCCTCTGCGGTCTCTCTCTCTTTCTCTCTCTCTCTCCTCTCTGCTGGGATCTTTTTCTCTTCTGTTCTGCTGGGTTGCTTGTGTTTCTGTTTTGGGGAAAGGAAGAAACCTTTTTCTATTTTTTTTAAAAGACACCATTTTGATTATTTTTAAGAGTAGAAAGGTCATTTACCCTTGATAAAACATATATTTCATCTTCCTCCACACTCTTTCTCTGCATGAAAAGTTGAAATCTCAACGTGGCAGTTTCTCCCATCCTCACCGACTCACCCACTCCATTTCGCTTGAAAAATCAGCTTTTTTGGCATCTTCTTTGCTTTTCTGTTCATTGGAGAAATTAGCTTTTCCGGCATCTATTTTGCTTTTCTGTTTGAGCTCTATTTTATTATTCAGTGATCATTCTTGCTTTCTGTTTTGCTATTCATCCTTTCTTTTGCTGTTCAAGCTCTGTTTAGCATTTTTTGTTTAATATAACATCCATGTTGCAGTGTTTTTCTCTTTTACAATGTTACTTGGAATGATGATGATGTAATCTTGAGAATTTCTTGGGTATTTATATTAAATTTCTGTGACCTATAATATTTTTTATATATTTTATTATATCTGCCATAACCCGCCATGGCAACCGCTATAACTTCATGGCATTTTTTTTTTTATTTCTGCCATGAGCCTTGATAACATTGGTCACGTTAAAAGCTTCACCGGAGTTGGAGACGATGGGAAAACGTCTGAGTCACATCAGAAGTTCGTTGGAGATGAAAAAAGATAACTAGAGAATGATTCAGTCACGCCAAAAGCCTCATCAGAGATGGAGGACACTAGAAACAAGAGAATGTCGCAGGGAACAAAGATGGGGAAAAACGAACTAGAGAGAACTAAGAGATGAAAATGAAAACTTAGGGATCTCAAGGAAGAAGATAAGATATTAGGAATGTAAAAGGGAGACGAAATTCCAAGATTACCCCATTTAAAGTTGTCCAATGTTAAGGGAGGGCAAAGTCGGGTTTTGGCCAGGGATGAAATAGCAGCTGTTATGGCTGCAATTCTCCTACAATTTGGCCACTATTCATAGCGTGATGGCCACTCCACTGAAACACGACGCTACAAGTTCCTTATAGCAGCGACTTGCCGCTGTGCTCCTCCACAACAGTAGTCTCTATAGCCACTATTGACTACTATGGGTATAATATCATCTCTAATTTTAACTTTCAACACATGATCATCTTGTTTTTTACTAAACATACAATGCATATACTTCTACTCAAGCAAAAACATGTGAATTTTAAAGTCTTCCTCCATAACTCAAGTTTAGCATTAACTTATTTTTTCGAATCCTCAACAAACATTATATCATTTGCAAAGAGTATGCACTGAGGGATAATATTTTGTATGTCATTTGTAAGCACATCTAAAACTAAATTATACAAGAGTTCAAAGTAAAGCCTTGATGTAAACTTATTCCAATTGAGAAGTCCTTAAATACGCCTCTAAAAGTTCTTACACATGTATTTGCCCCCTCATACATGTCTTATACAACCCAAATATATGCTACACGAACCCCTTTCTTTTCTAAAGTCTTTCATAGCACTTCTCTTAATACTCAATTATGTCTTTCTATGTCAATTAAATTATGTGTAAGTCCTTTTGTTTGTAGCGATATTTTTTCATCATCTTTCATAAAAATATATAACTTATGTTGTAAACCTTCCTGCCATAAAACAAAATTGATTTTTTGCAATCTCAGTTTCCTCCCTATTCAATGTCCAATCAGTTTGTCCTACAACTTCATAGTGTGACTCATGAGTTTAATCACTCTATAGTTTGCACAATTTTGGATTTCACCTTTTATTCTTGTATATAGGAACCAAAGTATTCTTCCTCCATTCATTTGACATATTCTTAAATCTCAAAATCTCATTAAAGAGCTTAGTGAGTCAATCCAGCCTTTGTTTTTCCAAACTTTTCCAAACTTCTTTAGGGATATTATCGGAGTCAACCATTTTCCATTCTTCATCCTCTTAAAAACTTTTTTTACTTTTCCAACTCTAATCCTATGGTAATATGTTAAATTTAGATCATTTGCTTGCACTTCTAATCCTCTAAATTTCCATTTGCTCCTTATCCCTTATTAAAAAGTTTATAGAAATATTTCTCCCATCTATCTTTGATGTCTTGATCCAAAACCAAAACTTTTCCTTCTTCATACTTAATACATCTAACTTGATTCAAATCTTTAGATTTTAGTTCTATACTTTTGGCAAATTTATAAATCTTCTTTTCACTATACTTTGTTCTAAGATCTTGATAGAAACTTATAAAAGCTTTAGAACATGTTTCACTCACTGCATTTCTTGTCTCATTTTTTGCCTTTTGATCCCTTGCCCAATTTTCAACATTATTACATGAATGCAAAGTTTTAAAACACATCATATTCTCTTAAACACTTTAATTCTGCCACCATGCAAAGATGCAAACTATCAGAATCCCTTGCCTCTAGCCAACTTCTAGTGGCTTCACTCTTTGCCCGATGGTGCATCTGTACAATGTCAGTTTATTTTTTTAGTTTGCATAAAGTAGTTTATTGGATTTTCATTCTCATCACCATGTGAGAGCTAACTCTTTGAAGATCAAGCAGTTGGAGATTATGTTTATGCTTACATTAAATGTTGAGACTTTAAATATCAATCTGAGTTACTAAGTTCCTGTCTGATTTACTTTGTTTTGGAGAACGATATGAAATCATATAAATATTTCTGAAATTTAGAACATCTGTAATTCAAGCCCACAAAATGTGGAAAATATGCCTAACTATAAGATGTCCCACTGGAACTGATTTGCCATCTTCTTCCCGTATTTAGTGCCTGAATTTGGAAGTTTACTGAGGAATAATTTGCTGGGTTTCTGAGATCATGCTAGTGTGAAACATGAGAGGACCTTGTGTTAGCTTAATTTGCACAATAATTTTCTGTTCTACTTATTTGCAGTTAAATTGGCATTATCTCATATCTTAATCTTACTGCCCTTACCCTTACGATACAACAATATCCAAAACCTTTTGGAAAGTGGTGCTTTTATTTGATTTATCCCTTGTGACCTAAGTTATTTAGTTTGATAACTAGATTGAAGTTTCATGAGAAAGTTTAAACTTGACGCGCTTTGAACCCAAAGCCAATTACTTCCAATTGGTGTTTGTTATTATTGCATACCTCTTTCTTCTAGCACCGAATACAGTCCCGTGTTTCTATCTCAGAAGACATTTCCAATTTTGTTTATCAAACAATAATGATTCACTGCTTTTGCATTGCAGGTTCATGGTGCATTTGCTGGATATAGCGGCATTACAGTAGGCTTATGCAACACCCACTATGCTTACTTTCCCATCCCCGAAGTGATATCTCATCCTAGATTGGTGGACCCTAACAGTCGAATGTGGCATCGTTGCTTAACTTCAACAGGTCAACCTGATTTCATCTGACAAACTACTTGTTCCAATAAATTCAAGAGGCTTGGCAATTCAGGCTTCCAAAGAGTGTACAATAGTAAAGATAGATTCAAAATATCTGGCCAATTTGCCTAACAGGCATGTGAAAATAATATAAAGGATGACATTTCCTCCACATTCGAAAGATTGGTTATTTATTTGTATAGCGTGGCAGTTTCATAGTCCTGCCAACTGCATTCAAATTCAGATTATAGAGGAATCGGTAAGCACTATGTGCTTGATTTTGATCGATTTGTAAGTTGTAACACTATTTAATCGATATTGAAGGGCAAAATTTAATGATAGATGAATTGTTGTGTTTGTAATTCACGCCTGGAATATTGAATGCTGAGGCTAATTTGTGCAAGTTTATTTGCAGAGTGTTTTAAGAATATTTTGGTGCCCATCATGTAAGGTGGCAAAGAAATTTCCTCATGAGTAAGCATGGAGTCGTGAACCAGCATGGTCAAAATACTAACATGGATTTTTCTGTCAACACATTTGGGAATAGGATGCTAAAATCTTCCTTCACAAGCTCATGTTAGCAAATCACTCACTTCACACACACATGGGACATATTTAGAGAAGTTTTTAATGAGATAAGGGATAAATCTTAAGATAATCATGGATGCTCGAAATTCAAAGATGATGATTACATGATCATTTAAAATGCCACATAACTTGATGCTTGAATTTTCTCATGGTATTACAACTAAAGGGTTTTTGTTAGGGGAGGAAAAATATTTTATTTTAAATAAATATATTTAAAATTAATATATTTTAAAATAAAAGATATAAATTGATATATGTATATAACTAAAAACATAATTTATAGTACTATGACAATAAAGTATATGACACGTCTATAAGTTAAAATATTATTTTTTTTAGGATACTAGTAATTTCTAGAAATTTGTATTACATAAAAGAGAGAAATGGGAAGGTATAGGATGAATTTGTGTTTGATTACACAGTTAAACTATCTATTTATAATAATAATTTATAATAAATAAATAATTTTCTACTATCTAGAATCATGCTAAGTATATAGTTATCCTACTTATATAGTTATGTTATTATCTATATTAATCTCAACACTTGCCCTCAATTTGAAGCATTTAAGTTATATATACTAAGCTTGTTACATATATATAACTAATATGAGGCCTCCTCAAGGATTTAATGAAGATATTTGCCGACTGATCATTAAAGTTGATGAATTGTGTAAAAATATTCTCAAATAACATTTTTTCTATAAGTGATAATCTATTTCAATGTGCTTGATCTTCTTTTCATGAAAAAATGGATTTATGAGAATATGAATAGTAGTTTAGTCCAATTATATTAAGGTTATGTATATCTCTAAACTTCAATTCCTTTAGTAGCCAATTGAGTCATATGAGCTGGCTAATGCCATGACTTGATATTCTGATTTGCACTTCATCGTGCAATAATGCGTTGGTTCTTGCTTTTCAAAGAGACTAAATTATCACCAATGAAAATGCAATACTTAGAAGTTAACTTCCTATCTATAGGAGAACCTACCAATTTGCTTTTGAATATCCTACAATTTAAGTATGTTATTTATCTTAATACAAAATATTTTTTTCTTGAAGCTCTCTTGATATATTTTACAATATGACTATCATTCCAATGTTCTTAATAAAGAGAGTTGAGAAATTGACTCACCACACTTACAACAAAAGAGAGATACCAAGATGAGTGATAGTGAGATAATTTAATTTTCTAACAGTTTTTATATTTCTATGTATTTGCAAAAAGCTCACCTTGTCCTAGTTGGAGTTTGATTTTAGGGTCCACAGGGGTGTCACCTTGAAGTAAAATAATTTGACGTAATAATATGGAAAGGGGGGAGTAACCCAGAACTACATAACTTTCATCTAGGATAAAGAGTTAGCAAATGGGGATAAGTGGTCAACTTGTGCCTATGAATTAACGTTAATTGTGTGAAGACATAGTGAGAATTTAATAATATGGTCACTAAGACTAAAATTGAGTAAATTCTAGTGTAACCAAATAAAAAAAAATTGAGAGGGAGTAAGTGAAAGAAATAGTACTTGGGAAGGAAAATAAGAAATTAAAAGAAACACACTTTAATAGACAAAAATTGAGCTTAAATATGACAATAGATTCTAGCCAACTCCAAAATAAATTTGAAGTACATGAGATAGTATTAGGAAAATACTCTTTAAGGACCTGAACACCAACCAAGGTAGATTGACAAAGAGCTTGACTAGAGAGAACCTAAAATGAGATAGGGACCAAAGGAAATGGTGAGAAATCAATAAAATGGGACATGTATACGTAACTTTGATGGAAAACACGATTTTTATATTTTTTATATTTTTTATATAAATATTATCTTTTTATATTTTTATAATAAAGAAACACAATTTTAGAAAGAAAAATTTTTTTATTTTAAATTTGAATCAAAGGAATAAACTATGTAGAAGAAATATTATTTATTTTTTCTATAAGAGGAATGAATTTAAAAACTTATTTTGACTTTTTTTATTTACAATTAAATTAAAAAATAATAATTTGATTTTTATTTTTTAGAAAAAGAAGAAAATTTTGAAATTATTTTTAGTATTTTTAAATTCAAAATTAGATGGAAATTTTTTTTAAAAAGGATATTCTTGATATTTTATAACATGAATTTTTTTTTAAATTTGGACTTGACGGTCAGAGTTCTCACTCTTACATATTTTCTGAGTGCAATAGAAAAATCAAAGTCACATAAATTTTTTTTAATTAAGTTTGGATAAGTTTCAAAGTTTTTTTTTAGAAGAATTATTTTTTTAATTTCTTAGTTTTGAAATAAATTTACCATTGTACATAATTTAAGTTAGCACACAATTACTCAAGAAACTCTTACAATCCAAATAACATCGTTTGGCCTTTGTGTGATTCAAAAAAATTTTAAACTTTCCTTATTTTAAAAATCAATACACCTTTACATGTGATTTAAGTTAGTACACAACTATTCAATAAACTCTTATGATCCAAAGGACATTGAAAGTTGATCTACCACTCTATCAATATCTCTTGGTCATTGCGTGGATTAAAAAATTCTCCTTATTTTTTTATTTTTTTTTTGCTTTAAGAGAAAACATAAAAAATATATTTATTTGTTTGATAAAAAAATGAACAAAAGGGAATCACATTTTCTAGGATTTGTGAAAGGAAAGTAGTTTTAGTGTTTGAAAATTTTTAGCTTTTAGAGTTTGCAAAAAGGATTAGGTTGTTAGGGTTAGAAAAGCAACGGTTTTTAGGATTTGCCAAAAAAGAAGATTTTTAGGGTTTTCTAGCTTTGCAAGAAAAGAAAGATTTGTAGGATTAAAAAAACTTAAGATTTTTTAGGGTTTTTCAAAAAGGTTTTTTTTTTTAATTTGCAAAAGGGGGAGATTTTTAGAGTTAGAAAAAAAGAATTAGGTTCTTAGGGTTTGCAAAAGGAAATATTTTTATGGTTAGAAAAACAAGTTTAGGGTGTTTAGGGTTGGCAAGAAAAGAAAGAATTTTAGGGATTTGAAAAAAAGATTTTTGGAGTAAAAAAATTAGGTTTTTTAGGGTTTGCAAAAAAGAATTGTTTTTTAGGTTAGAAAAAAAAATAGGACTTTTAGGGTTTGGAAAAAAAAAAGGAAGATTTTTATTGAATTAGGTTTTTTAGGGTTAAAAAAATTAAATTTTTTAGGGTTAGAAAAAATTGGGACTTTTAAGGTTTGAAAAAAAATGGAAAGATTTTTAGGGTTAGAAAATGTTTGTTTAGCACTTGCAAAAAAAATTATTTTTAGAGATAGAAAATGTTAGAATTTGGTGTGAATAAATTTATAACAAGAGAGGAACATACAGAATAAATGAAAAACGAAAATAAACAAAAATAATAAGAACTCTTACTTGATCTAGCAGATAAAAGTTTTTCTGTCAACCCCTTTGTGATTGTTTAGGATTCACAATTAGAATTTTGTCCTTCAAGAACATTGCACATAGCATCACTAGTTTCTACGCATTTTGTCAGTCAAAAGACTAGGTCCCTTTCCTATTTCCATATCTCTCGTTCCTATCTTATGGTCTAATTTATCTCGCAACTAAGGACGCACTTATCTTATCAGAACTGTAGGATCACCTCGTATTTAGTACTTTTATGATATTGAAATTCGAGTTAAACTATAGTTCACCCACTTCTGGCTTATCAATTAAGGCAGATCACTCATCTTTCATTTTGATTCATCCCTATCAATCTGGCGATTCTTAGCCAAATACCCATGGATAGATGGCACTTTTGATATCTTTTCTTCAACCCTCTAGGTTTGTTCTTTCTAATTGACCTTAAGAAGCTTTAGGGAACCTCAGTGCTCTCAAGATGATGACTCATTTACCACTCTCTCCTTTTTCTCTGTTTTAAGTATTCTTAGAGCTTTAATTTTTTTTTATCTCCTTGTTTCTTTTTTTCTTTGTTTCTCAGACTCTCATTTGAGTTCTCTATCTTTTTTTTCTCTTTGTCTTTCAAATTCTCCTAATTCTCTCGCTTTTTTTTTCACTTTTTTTTTTATTTTCTGTGCTCTCAAAAAAAGTTCTCCTCTTTTTGAGAATACACTTTCTAATAGCTCAACTCTCTAAACCCTAGATCTCATTTAATATACATTTTTTAGTTTTTTTTTATTTTGATAGAAGACTCCAACTTTCCCAATTACTTATTTTCTAATAACAAATAATCATTTTTTTTCTCCATTTTCTCATCAACTCTTAAAAATTTATAAACTACTTTGATCATTTTCAAATTTGATTTTAAATTTAAAAATTTAAATTTAAAATTTATTTTTATTTATTTTTTTAATCTCCTACAAAATCTAATCATTATATTTAATTTTTAATTCTAAAATTATTTTTTAAAAAAATTTAGATAAAATTGAGTATTCACTAAGTGAATTAAATTATATTGATATAATATAAAATTTCAATTGGCAAAATTATCCCAACAAGTATTATTGGATAAGATTTTATAGGTAATAACATTATATATATTTGACTATTATATGTTAACCAGTTGATTCTAGTGATAATGATACATTACGCTTTTGGAGTAATTCAATATTAACATATATAATACAATTTAGTTTTAATTAATGTCAAGTGTTACGTTTACATTATAAGCTAATACAAAAAAATAAAATAGTTAAGAAAAAATGCATAAGAATAAAATAAAATGACTTTTTTTTTTTTTTGCATAAAAGCTTCTTGGAACTAAAATATGAAAAATATTTATATTTAATAACAAATTTTGTGATTGTATGCTTGTTGTGCAAAAATTATAAGAACTTTAAAAATGGTGCAAGATGGCAATATAATGATGTTGCAAAAAGGAGTAGTTGATTTCTAATATAATACATCAAGATATTCATGTTATAATAATATCTTTAGGTTTTGCTTTAAATGTAACATCCCGAATTTTGTACTATTAATTTTGAAATAGGCTAAGTACATGGTGCAGGGTGTTCTCGCTGTAGCAAGAGGACCTTGGGAGGAAGACGTGAAACTGTCGCCTTCTCGCTGTAGCGAGAAAGTGGCAGTGAGGGATATATTTATGGGTGCAGTCTCGCTGTACGAGGTTCTCGCTGTAGCGAAAGTGTCGCGACTAAAGGAGTATATGAGGGGTTAGAGTTTAGGGAAAATCATTTTTTCCACTTCTCCCTTTGAGTTCTCTCTCATTTCTCTCAATTTCCAAGTTATTCTTACGGATTAAATTGTCTGCAAAGCCATTTGGCTGTAAGGTTGAAGGTTGAAAATACGTTTGGAGCTATTGGAGTGGGAAATCCAAGTGGGGACTATTTTCTACCCTATCTTATTGTATTTTGATTTCTGTTTATTCTGTTAAATATTGCAATGTGGCTGAGATATATGGTAGAAAATGTGTGTTTTTATGAGAATTATTGTGTGTTTAAATGCAAAGTGATGTGTGAGGAGATAGTTGAACCCATCGTGAGTGATTGTATATTGTGACATGCCGTTAATTGGTGATTTAATAATGTGATTTGATTGTGATAAAGTCTGATGAGGATTTAATGCTTAAGTGTGTTGTGAATGAATGTGGGCCTATGTACCATGTGCTGTGAATGAATGTGGGCCTATGTGCCTTATATGAATATGAATATCATGTGCAATTGAAATGCGTGTGAATGAGGCATGTTAAATATGGTTGTAAATATGCTATGAATGGTTTAGCGTGTAACATCTTACACTTTGATTTAAATAAAATGAGGTTTATTAAAGTATAATTAGAATAGATTTAGATAGAATTTATATTTAAAAAAATAAAAATAAAAAAAATAAATTTGTGAACAGTGTCGATAAACAATAAAACTGCCTACGACCAGTAAAACTGCGTATAAATAGTAAAATTGCCTATGTACAGTGACTGATGACGTCATCAGTGACTCATCATGATGTAATGGCTGATGTCACATATGTATACAGTCCGTGTACAATACGCATGCACAGTATTTTCGACGTGAACAGTGTTCCCAGCGTGAACAGTAAGGCGATGAACAGTAATTCCGACGTTGAACAGTAAATTTCAAAAATTTTCTATAAAAAGGGAGTTTCACACAAAATTTTCATTTCTTCACTCCTATCCAAGGTTCTCAAAGGTTTTAAGGCTATATATCACCATTTTCTCTCATACTAAACCCTCATAAATTTAGATTTTTCTTCAGATATGTGATTCTACTTCCGTTCTAAAGAATTTCAAGTAAGTTTCTTTAAGTTTGAAGTTAGATTTACTGTTCATTTCTCTTCTTCTTTTAATTATAGATGTTCATGGTGTTCTTAGAAAAAACTCCGTTCTAGAGTTAAATCTTCGATTAAATCTTTGTAAAAGCTCTTTTTGATGTAAGGGGGCTTTATTTTATCATTTTGTTATGTTTATTACTTGTATTCTCATAGATCTTGTCATGTATGTGATTATATGTGGAATAATCCTTGTTTTATGAAAAATAATCTGTAAAAAGTGAGAATAATTGGTTGTTATGTGATTTTATGATGAATACATGGTGAAAATGTGATATTATGTTCAAATAGTGCATGCTAAGATATATTGAGGATGATTGATATGATTTTATGATTTTGTGATATGAAATATACAAAGAGATGAATGTTTCATGTTTGAATATATTGTGTTTCATGTAAAAATGATGTGTATTGTGAATATACCATGGTTTGATGTATATGATGAAAATATGTGAGAACATGAGAAATGACATATGTAAACATGTGAATATACTTGAAGGAGTATGAGATGAAAAAGGATATGATGTAAATAGTTATAGAGATACACTAGAGGAGTGGAAGATGGAGACGATATGAGATATCTTGGGGAAATGCAGGGTGGTGAGTGGCATTCGAGATTGTGCACGGAATATTGTGTATGAATGCACCACATGGCCGCACACTCGTTTCCCAACTTGACTCCTGACTGTCTATTGCATGCGTTGTATCCGTATTGCATTGGGTCATCCGACGACCACCTCAGGATAGATGCATCGGATAATTGTGGCCATAAGGCGCGGTAAGGGCAGATAAAAGAAATTATGAATCTGTGGAATATAATATGTGTTGAGATGAGAACATGCTTTATATGACACTGTGATATGTAATGTCATGATGTTTTCTTTAATCGTGATAAGATGTGTTTTGTGATGAATATGTGTTATGTATGAGTGGTAGGATATAGACTCACCTTTACACAACATTTTCAGGAAATCAGGACGAGTAGTACCAGGCTCACAGTGCATGGATGGATGAGAATTGCTATATGATTTAGTTATTTTGAGTTATGTAATAGATATTTTCAGTTCTATAGCATTCTTTTAAAACAGTTGTAAAACTACTATTTCTTTTTGTTGTTGATGAAAATTTTAGAATCTTTGTTTTTTCAAAGTACTTATGAATTAATGAAATTGTACTCTAAGAACCTTATATCATTTCATTGTTTCTTTCTCATTAGAGAGTTTTTGAAAGAAAATTTACTTTACCATTTAAATTTTTATGAAAATTTATCATATATTGAGAAAAGAAATATAAGGCGTTACACAGCGATACATTAGAGATGTGAAAGATGGAGACGGTAGAAATACCTTGGAGAAGAGAGAGTGATGGTGACACCAACAATGAGTGTGGGTGCACCACAGACTACACACTCTCCTCCTGACTAGATCTCTGACTAACACCTTTGCCGAGCGACTCGTGACCGCACATGTGCTATCTGTGATACGAGGGTAATCAACGACCATCTATGGTGTGAAACTGTGATCACAGTGAGCGTGGCTACGTACAGTGAGCGTATGTGTGTGTAAAATGTTTTGGTGTCGTAAATGCATCGGTTGTGAATTGAAATGAAATGCTTGAAAGTGTTGCATGTGATTGACTATAATTAAATAGATTATGTGAGAATACATGTGGAATGTGTAAGGTGAGTCTTTATATTGTGTGTGTGTGTGTTGAATAGTGTAGAGTACTTATCCTTAAATTTAGTTTTTAAGTGACCGAGACGATCAGCACCAAGCTCAATGAAGGAGTGGATGAAATTACTATAAGACTTAGGAATTTATTTTAAAAAATGATGTATTCATTGAGTCTTGTAGCAATTATTAATTCAAATTGTAATTCGCTCTTACTTTGAAATACTTTGTTAAACTATGCTTCAAAAACTATTTGAATGAAAATTTTTATTATTTATGTTTTCACGAAATTCATTTATTTTAGAAATTAAATTTAAGGTGTTACATTAAAAACCTTAAAGAAAGAGTTAGAGACTTTCTACTGTCCTAACATTCCAACTTCAAAGCAGGGAAGACATGAGTTTGGGACATTCAATTTTTTAATGTCTCCATTAGTTTATAATTCCTTTTATCAATAAACCCTGTTTAGAATAATTTATGAAAACAAATTATTTTAATTTATTTTAATTAATTTTATTATAAAATTTATGTCATAAAGTATCTTGATAAAAACTTACATAAGTAATTAAATAAATTACTTATTGTTTACTTGAACATGACATTAACCATTTTTGAGATATTATTGATGTGAATGTTACTAGTTTATCTTGTAAAAGATTAAATTAATAATATATAATATCATCGATTAATCATAATTTAATATATTTTTCTTTAATATCATTAATTTTTTATACCTAAATTACTTAGACAAAATTGGATTTGAATTTTTTTTAAAAATTAGTATTGTGAAATACCGATAAAGGAAACTTAAAAAAACTGCAAAAAGAGATCTGAGAATCTTTTTTTAGCCAATCTCATTGAAAAAATAGTTTCACATAAATTGATAAAATATAACATACTTAACACTTACAGAATAATTGAACACTTTTACATTAAAACTAAAATGAAATAACCCAATAATTTTCTATTGTAACTTTATAAAGTTGAAATATAACTTTCCTTTTTTACTTTTTTTATTTATTTTATTTTATTTGAAAAAAATTACAGATCATGTCTTCTCTAAAGAGTTATTTAAAAAACAAAGTATAAATTTATAGTCATTAATTAAAAGAGTATTAGTTAATACTCATGTAATTACATAATTTGTTACACAACATTTAATTACAATTTTAGCTATTAAATTTTTAATTAATGACTATCTCTTCTTTTCAGAGGAGTCATAAAAATATTTAATTACTATGAATAAATTATTATTATTTTTATTATTATTATTAATCAAATTATTTTTTTAAAGAAAATATTATTATGAAGTAAAATATTTTTTTAGAGGCTTAAAATGCTTGTTGGGCTTGGGCCAGCCCTGTTAACCAATTTCGTTTAAATGCACCCATGACCCATTTGGCTGATTAGGCTGACCAAAACCATTCAAGTGGGAACTCAATAAACAGAGACAAAGCAGAAGCCATAAATCATAAGCAGAATGCCTCATCATATTATCTGCATCTAATCTCATTCAACTTTGGCAATATTAGCGAAGGGGTTGGATTTCATGAAACAATCTCATCAAAACTAAACAATCTTATAAGATAATGCTCATTAGCATTACTTAACTAAATAACACGGATCTTAAAACTAAACAATAACTCTCTAAAAAATTTAACTAAATCTCTCGAAACATCTTGTTTTTCGCCATCATCCTCCGCTCAGAAATCCTTAAGCAACTTACGAACCTGTTCCAACGTCACAAACAGCACAACCGTAAAGGGTCCCTGTCTCGAAATCGTCGGGACAAAACCCTTGTAAAGAGCCATCGGGCCCTCTGCGCGCACCGTCTTCAAAGCGCAATCGACAGCACCGGAATACGGCGGCGCTGCCCCAGGCTCCACCTTCATGTTCATAACCCTCGTCTTGATCACGTCGACGGGGTTCGACGTAATCGCCGCTACAAACCCCGCCGCAAAACTTGCAGTTACGTGGGTTCCAAGCCCATCACGCATTATGCCCTTTTCCAAAATCATCTCTTTAAACTGGTCGTAAGAAGCCAATTGCGATGCCGTCACCAACATGGCGCGGTTCACTGTAAGCGATGAGCCGCGCCATAAACTGGTGACGCCCTCGTCTTTTGCCATCCTTGCGATGGCATCAATTACTGATTTGTAATTTCTACGTTGAGCCGGCGGGAGTCTTCCGTCGGCTTGCATGCGGACCATTGCCACGTCAGCGGGGTTTCCCACTGCGGCACCAATTCCACCGGCGATTAGTCCTGCCGCGATCTTACGGGTCAGCGGCATGCTTCCACTGGCAGAATTGGGATCGGACCATTTTGTCTTGAGCATGTCATAGAGCCCCATGCGGGTGGTGGAGTAGAGAAGCTGACGGAGGACGGTGGCGGAGACGCCGGAGAAAAGGGCTGCGACGCCTTCTTGTTGGACTAATTTAACGCCTACGGTAATGGGACCCACCTTGGCCGGCGGGTGCGGTGGCGCGTGGGAGGAACTAGGGTTGAAGGCGAGTGCGGGTCGGAGGTTCGAGGCTTGGGTCTCTCCTTGCAGCTGCATTCGGACCTTGATGAGATCAAGAGGGTGGGTGGAACACCCTGCAATCACGGAAGCGATGCCTCCTTCCACGAAACCTTTGATACCCATTTTGAGTTATGCGAAAAAGTTTCTTACTTTGAAAGAATCACTGGAATTGAAGAGATGGGGTGGATGTGGTTGATCTTGTTAGAGAATTTTCAGGGAAAATTTTGAAGGAAGAAAGGAATTAAATCAATTGGAGATGATGAAAGAAGACCAATTGGAGTTTGGGTTCATCTCACTGGAGACAAGGAGATGGGAATGGAGACCAAAGGCTATAGAACAAGAGTGTGGAACGTTAGGCCTCTGAGACATATGCTGTTAGAAGAAGCGATGTTTAGAAGCGAAACAAAGAATTTGTGTTTTGTGTTAGAAGAAGGGAATTTATACTTGTGTTTTAAAGAAGACAAAGAAGGATGTTGGAAGCTTGCACCGGAGACGGAGCAAAATCCAAAATTAAATAATATCAAATCTTCCTATTTAATAAACGCGGTTGTGGGGGCCCTCCAAATTTTTTCATATATTCTGGAAATTATTAATAATGCATAACGAGTTTCCTTTTCTATATTATTTGAACATTATTTAAAAATTAAGTTAAAATTCTCTTGCAACATCATTCCTCCTACAGCACGCTTATAATACTTTTATTTAATACTAAATCAAATATTAAAAAGATTAACCACAATAAATAATAAAAAGATATAACGTTACTCTATTTAAAATTCAGAAGTTCACATTAGATTACCCGCATTATTGGAGATTTGAAAATTTCATTGCTGTCCCAAAAATATAGGAGATGAAAAGTAGGGGTTTTATGTCTTGGGACTTGGCACAGCAATGTTGGATTTGACCTTTCTCAGAGTCAGCATCGGTGACTTCGGCGTGGGCCTCTCACACGCTCTCATTTTGAACCAGCCACGCATTGTGCATCAGCTGATGAGTTGGGTTTTGCCAATATCTCTGAACCGTGTTTATTTGACAAGTGTTCCGTTGGTTTGCCTCTCTATTCACACGAATCCAAACGCGCCAGGAGTAGTTTTGTTTTAATATATATATACTTCGATTAATGTTTTCTGATAATTTGGTAAAATAACTACAATATTATAAAAAAAGAAGAAGATGTATATCCAAATGATGCATATGCTGATACATGCTCTATCCAACAATGATTAGTGATAATGAAAGTGCACAGGAACCTTATATAAACTTTAGGGTTTAGGGTTTACTACCACTACTGACCCAAAGATTAGTCTAATGATTAATGAGAATACTTCACTGGTTAAAAACCAAAAAAATATAATAATGTACGTTTAAGAATAATGATGAAATAAAAAACACAATAATTGTGATAATAATATTTCATTCCATATTTATTATAAGTCTATTTAAATAAATTTCTAGAAAAAATTTTACAAGAGGAAAAAATTAATATAAAAAACTAAATAAAATTTCTCTCATAAATTAAAAATAACATATATATATATATATATATATATATATATGTGTGTAGAAGCTCTTCTATTTAATTTCTTCAAATTTAAAGAAATAACTTATAAAAAAATTATTTATTTTTTATATTATTTTTTCTTTTATAAAAATTTTTTAGACCCAAACTAGATCATAGTGTAACCATGAGACTAATTTAATTGAATTTAATTTGAATTAATGAAAAATTTACAAGAGATGCAAGAAATAGTATAAATAATAAGAGTGTTTACGAAATAATTTTGTAAATGCATTTAAATTATATTAAATGGTTGAATTTCTATAATTTATTTTTAAATTTAGTTAGAAGGTGATAAATAAATTATTTTATTATAAAAATTTAATTTTGAATAATGTGAGTGTAAAATATTTACACTGGTGATTAATAAAAATAAATTATAGATGTGAATTTTAAAATAGTTATTATAAATATTAAAAAATTTAGTCAATATTAGATGTTGGTATAAAAATATAATTTTATTTCTCAAATTTAAATAAAAAAAGACCTAAAATAAAAGTACAACTTAAAGAATTAACTTAATCAAATTATTTAAAATCATAATTCGAAGATGGTTTGTTAAGATTTTTTTTATGATAAGAGAGCTTTGTATCTTAGAAATCAAGTGTTATCTATCCTTTATTTTTTTTTTCTCTTTTTTTTTACATTTTTAAATATATAAAAATATTAGTTAATTATATTTTTCTTTTTATCTTTCCAGTATCCTTTACCAAATTCTTGTACTTTTGTGTCTAGGCTTTTTTTTTTGTGTAATTTATTTTTTTTAAAAAAATAGTCTTCAAAAAAATATAGATAAATATACCATACAAAAAAAAATTGTGCAAAACAAATGATGTTCAAGTTGAAAGTAAAAAAAAAAAAATCATTAAGAAATTTAGTTCATTTGTCCTTAAAAAAATTTCTCCTTTTTCTCTTTAGCTTTGTTCCATTTTTAATTTTCATAATCTTTTGTCTCTTAAAGTACTTCTTCTTTTAATTTGGTTTCTATTTTATTTATTTATTCATTTATTATTTTCATAATCTCTTGTTATTTCTTGTCTATTAAAGTTATATTTTTAGAGTAAAGAAAAATTTAGTGGTAAAAGATACGGTTAAATTATATTTGTAGAATTTGTTAAGAATATTTACAAGCCTTAAATGCAAGATTAGATTATATAAATTCTACATCTGATCTAGAGCTCCTTAAAGGTAAACTAATCATGAAGAGGAGTACTTAGGTGGAAGAAATAATGAGGGAAAGAAAAGAGATGAATCAAGAAGCAACAATCACTCGGTTCTAAGTAGATGAAGCAATTTTAATGAATAACAACGTTAAAATTAATATGCAGCATAAAGAATTGAAGAAAATGGTCTTTAATTCTAATGTAAATCATGCAAGTGCAGAGTATAAAAAGAAAAGATAGTAATAAGGTGAAATACTTTTACTGAAAGGAAAGTTGTTCTTAGTTAATAATAATTTGAGAGAATTAAAGTTAACATAGAAAATTTTTAAGATATCTTGAATTTTTGTACTACCTGATTTTTGTAAACTTTAAAAAAATTGAAAAGACATTTTTCTCTTATATGGAGAATGTAGTATTTCATACTTTGTATTAATCTATTTGTGAACATAAATTAAATTAATTCAATTGCGTTAATTTTTCTTACTTCTTTTTTGTTTCTATCATAACAATGATACTTCTAGAAGAGGATTGACCTAAAGCTCAAGCAACTAAAGCAAGGGTTTTAGGCCTCCAAAAAAGGAAAATTTTTAGTATTAATATATTTTTCTAAAAATTAAAAAATAAAATTACATTTAAAAGTGATTTTTAATTAAAATAATTTGAGTTACTGTTAACTTTTTTATTAACACTACAAATAATATTTAATGAATAGTAATTTTTAGCCAAAAAATAATAACTAAAACTAATATTTAATGAGTAATAACTCTCAAATAATAAATAATAATTTTTTTATTTTTTTTAAAGAGAATAACTAAATAAAAAAAATTGAACAATTTTTTAATTCTTACGTAGTTACATTTATCTTCTTCCTTTCTCTAATTATTATCTACTCTTTTTATTCTTATTGAATTTTTGCTTCAATTTGACATTTAATTTGAGTATTATTAATTAATATCTAATTAATTTTTTTCTCATCTCTTATCATTGTGTCGCTGTGTATTTCTATTTGGAGCGATAGAAGTATTAATGCCTAAACTTTAAAAAATCTTTATAATATGATAATTTTTTAGATATTAATGGATTATATTTATTTTCACAATTAAATATCTTAAAAGAAATTATAGGACTAAAAAATTATAAATCAATTGACATTCTTAATTATATGAAAAGAATAAATTTTTTTCTAAATACATGTATAACTTATAGAATAATATTAATAATTACAGTATTAGTTATTTTCAATTGAAAGAAGTTTATCAAATTTAAAATTAATAAAATCTTACTTAACATCAATAATGTCTCAATAAAAATTAAATAAATTTATTTATTAAAAAAATATTAAATAAAATTAATTACGATAATTTTATAAATAATTTTGCATCACAAAAAATTAAAAATAAAATAATAATTTTAATAAATTATTTTATTAATAAAAAAAACCATCATTTTTAAGTTTGCTTTGAACCTAAAAAATCTTTGAACCGTCAAAAAGTAACAATTACATTTAGAATAAACTGCAATTTTTCTCTTTAAATGCATAAATTACATGATCTCTATGTTAAAATTTACATTTTCTTCCCCTAAAATTTAATGTTATAATTTATTTTTATTTTGATGAGAATAAACCTAGACCATACTTATGTACTAGCCTACACATATAAACCAAAACCAACTGGTTGTGAGTAAACTTAGCAACTTGCAGATACGTGATTTTAAATAATCAAAATTGTCAATCAATTATTTAACTATACAATTATCTTTCATTATAATAAAAAAAACTATTTTTCGAAATATTCATGTCCCTAATCTAAAAATAAAATTCTAAACGTAACAACTTGACCTTGTACAGTCTTCGATGTCAGGAAGGTTAAAAGGGTAAATTAAAGGGCTATGATGCTGGGTTAGACCACGTAACTCGTTACTTCCAGGGGTGACAATGAATACGTAAGAAAGGACGTTGAGAATCACGCAAACTAAGAAGCCCATATTGACCCGAAAAGAAGAAAAATGCCCCAACTATTGAAAAGTTAGAACAGAAAAATGAAAGGGAAAAACATTAGTCTATGGAAGAGGGCAAGAAGTAAACGTCCCTTGGAGGGGTTGAAATGCTATTCAAACTTTCTCTAGAAATAACAAAAATATAAACATCAATATATCTTCTCATAAGCCTCGATGCACGTTCTTTCACAATATGACCAACTCCAACTGAACTTAACCAACATGCTTACCTAAGAGTGAATTTGCACAAAAAGGTTAAAATTTCATGGAATGATTCGTCGCCTGAGAGACTCGAACTCTCGCGGGGAAACCCCATGTACTTAGCAGGCACACGCCTTAACCACTCGGCCAAAGCGACGGTGTGAAAAGGGATTTCACCTTCATTTTTATCTATATCTCTATGTCTATTTTTTATCTTTAGTTTAAATTTTGTTTTATGCTTTTTAATTATTTAAATTAAATTTTCATCTCAAAATTTTATTTAATAATTAATAAAAATATAGTAAAAGTTATGATATATTAATAATTAATAAAAATATAGTAAAAGTTAAGATATCACAACACACCTATTTAATATTACTAGCTATCTAAAATAAATTTTGAAAAATTAATTATTATTTCTGTAAGCTAATCTATTATTGAACGTGTACAGCAATCTCTAAACAAGTGTTGCAGATTGATTACATTATAGTTAATTTAATCTTTGTTTACTTATGTAAATAAAAATGCATGTTTTGGACTTTGAGTACTTGAGATGCCAAAGAACATCGTTGCAAATTGATCGCAGTATAGTGAACTTAACGTTGATTGTAATGAGACCTAATGTACTTTTATTTTTTAAATACATATAAGATTAACGTATAGTCTTCTATTAAATTTGGTCTTAAAACCAACCGGCTTTTAGGCCTTCTACCAAAATACTATATGTAACACGTGTAGGGAAGCTTGTCCTTTGAAGCTAATTGTAATTAAATTTTCTAAATTTTAACAAGATTAGATTGCCCATTGCATTTTCAACAAGTTGGGTGATTGGAATAGCCTTGATTTTTAAAGGGCGTAGTAAACCCAAAAAATAAAAATAAAAAATTACCTAATTATAAAATATTTGATTGCCTTAATTTTTTAACCTTTAAATTTTTAGTCTTTTAACTAATATTTATCTTTCAATCTTCAATTTTTTACTACAATTATTACATCTTTTTAGCGACAACACTATTATCTTTGAAGACTGCCTAACGAATATATTTATAATGTTAACCACTATACGAACTAAAAAACCATATTAATTTAGTAAGAAATAAGCAATTTAAATTCTAAAAAACAAAAAATAGTACAAAAGCACTACCCTACAGTCAAGACATTTATAGAATAGTGTACGAGTCAGTAATAATTGGAACATTTTTGCAATGATTTTTAAATCACACAAACAAAATCTACTCCGGTCTTTCCTTAAATGTGTATAGGTGTCTAGAAAATGAAGTGTTACAAAAGCTTTTTTAACTATGACAACTCTATTTGAGGTTTATTTCCACCACTAGTTATTCGATTTTACCATTGAAGATAAACTTTTGGACGTTGATAAAGGTTAAGACAAATGAAATAAATGAAAAACTACAATTTTTTGTGAGAAAAAGTGAAGTGAATGTCAATAATTGTTTTTTATTCCAACACAATATCGTATTCAATGTCGAATGCTTTGATAAAGTGTCATTAACATGTTAAATAGGTAATTTTGTCAAAAATGAACTAATGGTAATGCATTGTAAAAGTTAATGTAAAATTAATTTTAAAAATTTAAAATTAAAGTAAAATATTAGTTAATTTAAAGACTAAAATAAAAATATATCACAAAAGATAAGTACCAAAAGAATAATTAAAAGGAAAGTACAATTCAACTAGTTTTTCACCAATATTAAAATTTAAAAAACCTTCCTTAAATAAATTTCACCCAACTTTAATGTGCTCAATGAATTATAAGTAAAAACATATTTTTATCATTCAATTAAATTTTATTACCACAAAAACGAAAACAGAGAAAAAGAGAGATTATATATATACATATAAAACAATGAAGATACAAGGGAGGAGGGGGTTGAGTTTATACCAGTCACATATTATTTTTTCACAGACACGTATGCATCGAAGAAGGGGGTTATTGACATTGGCACACACATAGATGCCTGTGGCAGTAACGATACCCAGCTATCAGCTCCGCATCTACGCTTCGCTCTTCTTCATTGCCAAGGCGAAGAAAACCACCATGGCCAGCACTAGCAATTCTGGGGCCTTCACCACAATTCAAGAGACCGTCACCTTCGAGAAAGAGATCAAGAAAAGCAAGTTCATCGCCATCGCTGGCCCCATCTCCGACGACAAGTCCGCCATGTCTTTCCTTTCCCAGGTTCATCTCCTCTTCTCCCCCATTTGCATAGGTTGCGAATTATTGATTTTATGTCTGAGCTTTGTTGATTATTAGGTCCGGGATCCACGTGCTACCCACAATTGCTGGGCTTATAAGGTACCGTTAATGCCTTCTTTCTCATTCAGTGTCAGGAGGAAATTATTGGGATTTTAGTGGATGTCTGGAGTTTAAAAATTCTCTTAAGAAGATGAAAAAATAAGTTACTATTGCTTCATCGATAGTTTCTTTACAAATTGGGGGTGTTCAGTGTAAGAAAGAAGAGACATAGTTAAGTGAAGGTAGAAACTAAGAACATTATGAGGCATAAATGCAGATAATGAGGTGCTACTCCTCTACACTTTACTATTAGTATGTTTTATTCATCATTCTTTTTTCCCATGTTGTGTAACAGGTGGGGGGTCAATGCCGGTCCAATGATGATGGTGAGCCTTCAGGAACAGCTGGGAAACCAATACAATCTGCTATTGCTTCTTCAGGAATAGATAGACTCATGGTGGTTGTGATCAGGTTGATACTTACATGGCCCTATTTTAATATTGTACAGATGCATATTAATGTTTTATGAATTCTGTTGGTTGGCTTGGGTAGTACAATTTTTTATAATTGACAAAGTCATTGACTAACCATGGCAGGTATACTTTTGGAATGTCTGATTCATAAACCTGTGTCGTTTGCATTAGGCACTATGCTAAGTTCTTTGTTTTGGTGTCGGATTTGGAGTGTAATTTGCATTGTGAATTTTTATTTGAATTTCAGGTATTTTGGAGGTATCAAATTAGGAACCGGTGGATTGGTTAGGGCTTATGGAGGAGTTGCATCAGAATGCCTGAGGAATGCGCCAACGTGCCTTGTGAAAGCAAAGGTGGTTCTTTTCTCTTAGCATGAAATGCATCTTTAATTTTAACTATACCCCCCCAAAGTTTCACTTTCTTGAAGGTTTGTAAACTCATTATGTTTATGAGGTGTCAATTTATGAATAATCTTATGAAAAATGTAGGTGTCAATGGGTATAGAGGTCCCCTTTGATCTACTTGGAGTTCTCTACCATCAGGTTAGTACTTGCAAATGTGCATTGATGAGACCCTGATTATGAATATACTTCTTATTTTGTGAGAACTACTGAGTTACATAGCTTCTGTGTTCTCAATGTATCCGCATCTTTTGCTCATTGCTCATGTTATTTCAGCTGCAGTCTTTTCACGTCCAAGACATCAAGCAGGATTATGATACCGGCAAAGATGGCATATCTATGGTTACTTTTAAAGTTGATTTTGACCAAGTTGAGAAATTGGAGGATGCATTGAAATCCAATTGTAGCCGAGAATTGAAGTTTTATAAGCGTTAAGACTTTGAGACAGGAGTTTTTTTATTTTATTTTCCTTATACATGGTTGGGATTAACTTGAGACAAGATGTATATTCATCTGAGGATGTGGTTAATGGGACATCCACAGGCTCAGTGTATAAAATTTTGTGGCTAAGTACATCCTTGCCGCTAATAGGACTAATTTGCAGATAAGAAATCTAACTGATTTACAGAATGATTTTAAGAAGTATTAGTAATTTACTAATTATGTTACATAGTTCGTAAATTCAGTAGAAATTTGTACAGATCTATATCTATATAGAAAACACATTTGTTTTACATTGTGACGAAGTTTAACAAGTACTTCAAGTCTGATTGCAGCGACTAGTAACTCCTGTTTAGCTTTGTAAGAATTAAGAAACAAGTGGCATAAGTAACATTCAATTAAGGAATAAAATGTGATACCCAAAGATGAATGAATGACTACAAAATAACACACCGAAGAAAGTAGAGTATTCAGCCTAGACAAACACGCGAAGAATAGAAGAAAATCAACAAGTAAGGATTCTCGTAGGGATATAGCCAGATAAACCATCCAATAAAGATATGTAAAGATCCAACGATGATATTTCAATTTGATGTAAGCGAGAAGACTGACTGAACTGTAGAAAGTGGTGGTCGTGTTATGTTGGGAGTATTTTTGGAGGGTTGGAAGCATTAGCTTAGTAAAGTACATCGAATTTGAAGAAAACCATCGTTTTTGCAGGAATTTTCTGCGCATTAGTCAGGTGGAACAATGCATTTTTACCTGTACTCCATTATGAGACAATTTATAGATTTAATTATTTAAGAGCAAGGTAGCCTCGCTAGAGACAACCGACAATGGGAAGTGGGTTTCCTGCACTTCAAAAGGTCCAATCGTACAGTGACTAGATTTTAACAATAGTTATAAACACTCGATATGAAAGAAATTAGGGGTGAGATTGAGAACTGAGCCGTGTACAATTAGCACTTCATCTCTAGAGGATTCTGAGTCGAATCTGAATCCAGCTACAACTTAGTAGAAGAGAGAGAAATCCAAGGAAGTTTGTTTGAAAACCAAGGGAGTTTGTTTCTAAGCAAGACACATGTCAACACTACCAGAAAATCCAAATATATCAAAGCCTCCGGAGAGTGAGGCATAAAATGATGGCGAGGGCCAAATTTTGTACAACTGAAATGCCAAAATATATCATAAAAATAAAAGAAATCGTTTTCCTCAATTTGTTTGCCTGTTATGTTCAAACAAGATGTAATCAAGTTTGCCATAATTTTTATTCGTTCATCACGTGAAACAAATTAACCATAATTCTGTGTTTCTGTGATTCCTAGCAATTATCAAGTAATTAACATAATACATTTGTTTGGCCATTATTCAGTTAAAAAATTAACATTTTCCGAACAAACTGAGGAAAAGAACTAAATTTTCTTGAAGATCAGAAGCCCAGTTCATAAATGCTATTCACCTTGTCATCCCTTTAAAACTAACACATTCAGAGTATGTACAGATTACAATTAACAGAAGCGGCATTGCAAAAACTGCAAAATACAAGCAATGCATGCCTCACTTGCAAACCAAAAAAGGAGCACATAATCAACAGGTACACTAACAAGTGTCCATTTTAGGTTTTCCATTTTCGCTACATCTGCGACTACACAGAAGTGGCAAAATTCTGACTTCTCTAAGTTCCAAAATCATTTCCATCCTTTTCATCTGCATCCAAATCCGAGTCACTATTGCCATCAACATACCCTTTCATTCTCACCCTATTAGCCACCGTTTTAATCCTCAACCTCTTTCTCCCACCGCTCAGCGCATTGTCGTTCACTCCATTCCCCTTATCCTCATAATCGCTACCGAAACGAAGTCGTTCTTCATCGACAGGGTACCTAAGGGGAAAACTCACGTGGTAGCAATAGTACTGCTCCTTCCCCTCCACCACCGTCTCCGGCGGCGGCGGCCTCACCGCCTCGCCGTGAAACGTCCTCCGGCAATTCGCGCACCTCAGAGTGCAATCCTCGTATTTCCTCTCGTACTGGTGCAGGTACCAGCAGTAAGGGCACATTGTCCAAAACGACGTCGCGGCCTCACGGATCTCGCGGTCGAACCGGTCCTTTCGGGCCGAGTCAGAGAGAACAAACCACGCCTCGCGCACGCGCATGAGCGCGTCGTCGGCGAGGGGGAACTTGTTCTTGTTCGGGTCGAGGAGGCGCACCAGCGTCTTGAACCGTTGACGAGCGAGGTCGCGGTTCGCGGCAGCGTCGTCCGGGCGGAGCTGGAGGATGGAGTACCAGTCGCGATGGTGGCCGATGCCGTGGCGGTGTTCGGCGGCGGAGAGGACGTCAGCTATGGCGAGGATTTGGTCGAGTTGGAGTGCGATGTTCGGGTCGGATCTTGGGACCCGAGTAGCCATCTCGTGACAGGCGCTGAAGGCGCGGCGCGTAAGGAGTGTGACGCATGAATAGAGAGAATCGGGTCCGGGTTCGGACCTGACTCGGGTTATGTTATCTGTCTCCGTTTCTCGTCTCATGGGCTTCTTGACTCTGGGGAACAAGAGAAGCTGTGACTGTGTGACGGAAAGTTGGAAACTCTGGGTTTTATATTCTAGGGGAGTCATTAAGGTTTCAACTTTGAAATTAGACTGGGAATAAATAACATTTATTTATAATAAAAAATTTCAATTTTAATCTTGACGGCCATAAATGTGGATTATGTTTTTTGCTATTATAAATGTTGATTATATTATTTAGTAGTATCTCAAATGTTTTAATATTTGAGAAAAATGTTCTGTTCTAAATTACTGAGATGAGATTTTTGTATTTTTATGAACTAACGAAGTAATGAGCTTTTTATTTTATATGATATTTAAAAATAATATATATTAAAATATGATATTTTAAAAAAATTATAAAAAATTAGGAGTTCAAGACTGTAAGTTTTTAAAAATATATAAAAATTTTCCAAATGACAGTTTTAAATAAAATTATTTAATTTGTTATGATTAAAAAATTGTCAAATTAACTACTTTTATTTAAAAATTATTAGAGAGTTCTATATTATTTTTAATTTTTAAAAATATCATATTTTGCTATATAATACTTAAATCTTGTATTTAAATTAAATTTTCAACTTATTTATCGCTTATGATTTTTAAAAAAATAAATATAGATATTTCAAATTAAAAAATATTTATTACTAGTATTTCAAATTATTTTCTCTACGTTGAATTGGACTTCATTATACAACTTTTCCCTGTTGCAGTTATTATTATTATTATTTTGGTCATTTAACCCTTTTATCATTGACCTAACTTGAAAATATTAATACTTTAGTAGGTGTTTGAAAATTTATAAAATTACATTAAATTGTCTTTTATCGTGAAAGTTATAATCTATAATATTGAAATGGATAAATAAATAAACATATTAATGAATTTAATCTCAATCCAAACTTTTAAATTTATTCTTTAGAAGATGATATATAAAAAATAATGATATGTTTAAGAATATGTATATAAAATATTAAATAAAAAGCGTAAAATAAAGAATAAATAACATCATAGTCAATGGAATTTTTTTTTATTTATTCAAAGGTTAAAAAGGAATTAAATAGCATATTAAAAAAAATACATTGAAAATAATAACACTATAATGACAAGGTATAATTTATCATTTCATTTAAGGGTATTTTTACTAATTAAATTGAAAAGAAAAATTTAAGGAAATTTTTTTTATTAAATAATTTAATAAATTTCTTAATCTTGTAAGGTTATATTAAATATATTTCAAAACAAAAATAAAATATGCAAAACATAATTTGTCTTAAATAAAACCTATCAACCCCTATTGCAAAGATATGAGAGAAGATACATATATTATACACATTAAATATAATCAATTCAATAATTAACTAAAGAAATTTTTGTTAAGTAAAATAAGTCTATGAATTTCATACAAATTAAAAAATGAGTTGATACTTTATGAAATAAATTTATTAACAAATATAATTAAAGACCCTAAGATTAGGTTGGGTGCAACTTAACCCTTAAATTTTTGAAAGGTGTATATCAACTTATGTGATTTTTATTGCATGCAAATTAACTTTTTTTTTTTTTATCAAATTTATTATTTAAATTTAATCGAGTGAATTGAATGCATGTGACATTTTTGTTTTCAAATTGTTGCTGAAAAAGGGCTTACTCCTACAATTACAAATTTCTTGTTTAGTTTTATGGCAAAATCCTAACCCTTGAAACACTCATTCTTTCGATGAACTCCTGCAACTAGAATTGCTACCAGTTTGTCTCCTAACTCACAGAAGTTGACATTCCCACTATAGCCTCCCACCTCCCAACAACTACACAAAATCCTTTGTATTGAGAAAACCTTGCATGATAAATGGAGGTTTTTTATTCTTGTGGATCTTGGAGATTTTGCTTCCTTCTTTGATTTCTTTAGTTTGGCTTGAATCCTTGGATATATGACACTATTATAATTCATCATGCCTTCTTTTTTAGTAGCAAATCATTTTATTATTAAGTGAATAATCTCCATCATTATAATGATTGGCTTGCCTCTTGCATGCAATATGGCAAAATTAAAAGACTACAATTTTAATTTGTATTGTTGTCTTCATGGGTTTGGTCAATCTAATGAACCCGACTAATCCAACTCAATCTAATTAAAAATTAACGAGTTGGTTTAGATAGATGGGTCAATAAAATATTAGTACTCAATTAAGTACGAGTTAGATCGTGGATTGTAAATGTTAAAATTCAACCCAACCCAATCTAATAACTCATTACATTTAGACTCGTGATATTGATGGTATACTTTCAATTTTTTAAAGTGAACCAAAACTCTAATTCCTAATTTTTGTTCTTCACTTCTTTTGTCTTATGTTTCTAACTTTTCCTTTTCTACATTCCATTGGACGCCTTGGCCGCCACTTGTTGCCTCCTCTAATTTCAAGCTCCATATCGACTTGACTCTGCGTCTACTGTGACCTTTCGTTGTAACTTTGTTTTAATCTTATATTTTAATCATTTGTTGATAGATATGTCTAATGTTTCAGGTCTTAAAGATATTGACATTGATCTTATTTTCCAGTTTTTCCAATAAAGTAATGATATAATTTATTAATTAAGTAATTTTCGTGATTATAGAAGATGTTATACTCTTAACTACTTCATTTATTTTTATATAATGCATCCTTTCAAGATTTCAGCTTTTAGGCCTTTTAATTTGTTTGAAGTAAAGAATTAAAATTTGACAAATGATTTGAATATAATTTGAGAGGTTGTCGAAATTTGTCCTTTACTCTATATTACTTTAACTCCTTATGTTAGATGAATATTAAATTGTTGGTTTTATGCCATGTCTTAAAATGAATAATTTCTCATTTTATTTGAATAGATCTATTATTTTAAATCTTGAGATTAGGCCATTAATCATATACATAATTTTAATTGCCAACCCAACAGTCCAACCTAACATATCCCATGGTCGAATGGTTGAAGTTGAGTGAAGAAAAAAAAAATGCCAAAACCCACATAATGCAACCTATGAAATTTTGATTGATTTGGATAATTTTTTATACCAAAACATACCTAACCTAACCCAACCCAACCCACGAACAACCCTACATTTAGCATGTGGTGAATTGTGTCATAGGATTTTCTTTTCTTTTCTTTTTTCTAACCAACAAATTGCTCATTCATCTAACTCTTTAATTCCTATAATTCAGTACTTAAACTCACACACTATTAGCCCTTGCAACATTCCATGGAAAATCCTTCAATGTTTGTCCTTTGTATTAGTAGCTTGAAATTTGCATACAAATATCAAAATACAAAATCAATCTTCAACATTCATTTCTTCAAGAATATTTTTCAACTCTTGTAATAAATATTATATGTGCTTTAAATGAAAATCCCATATAAATAGAAATCATGTTTATCATGTGTAGAACAATATATTATTTGTTAAATGATCAAAGAGCATATTTTTTGTTTACCAAACATAAATATTGGTCAACAGACCCAATAATGTCTTCAAGCAAAAAATTAATGAGAAATATATTATCATTCTCATCTCTTCCATTAGCCACTAACAATTTGCTTGCCATAACACATTTTAAAAAAATTCATTTAAATGAATCATAGGCCTACATAATTTAAAGCTCCTTTTTTGGTTTATCTAAATAGACATGTAACATCTTAAAATCAATTACCATCAACCTTTGTCTTCTTAGTTGACCTAACATTGTATAGCCTCAATAGGTCATAATAATCCATATTGATTTGCGTATCTTCCTTAAAGAATTCCATTTCATTGCCATTCTATTCGCTTCATTGACATTGATATTTTGTGATCTTTAGCTAGTTAATTTATAAAAGACTCATTGTAACATCCTTCTAAAATTTAAATGATTTCCTTTATTAAATATATATAATTTTTGATAAACTTGATTGAAATAGGTAAAAGATATGGATAGTTTGGAAAAGATTTACATGTATATAAACTTGAACCGATAAAAGTTAGCAAAATTTTAAAACTTTATATATAAATCTAATTCGTAATAGAAATAAAAAAATATTTTTATAATTTAAATTTATAATTAAAGTAAAAGCTAAAATTTCATATTTAACGATTAGTTATTAAATATTACGTATGCACTTTAATCATCATTTACGACTAGAGTTATCAAAATATTATAAATTCTAAAATTAACATTTAAACTAATTACATATCATTGTTAACTCTGAATAGAAACTCAATCAATATTATTACAGGTCTTCAAATAAATTAAATTCTAACAGAGCAATTCTTTTTCTTACAACATAACTGAGAGTATGATCACAAAACATATCAATTTTCTTTTAATTTCTTCAATTTCATTTTAAAAAAAATAATTGTAAGGATGAACATTCTCTGCCCCATTAAATTCTTATTTTATAAAATAATCAAAATAATGCAAAAAATATTCTCTAATACAACATGCACCAAAATAGGAATAATTTCTTTATAAAATTTTAACCAACAGAGATGGATTCATCAGTGCAAAATATTCCACACTTAACCAAATACAATCATTCAATTCTTGAATTCGTGCCACTTTATTCATTTAAATTATGATGGATTCATCAATTATCGATACTCTTAGTACTCACGAGCCCCTAAATCGCTGCCTACATGCATTTCCTAGTTATGAAGGACTTACGCCATCATGGATAGTCGCCAGTTAGCCACCACACATAGATGCAACATGATAAGTCCATAATTAAGCCATTTTCTATGGCCCATATATTTATGTTTAGCCTTTATTTTAATTGAGTTTTATAGTAATTTATATATTAAATGTACAGTTTAGTATGAAGAGGTCGCAAGTGGATTTTGAATATATTTTGGGTCCAAATTAATGAAAGATCAGAGTTTCGCAGTAGTCAACACGCCTAGACCCTTTCAACAAGGTCTTACATGACCCTGCTCATTTGCGAGAAGCCCAATTATAAAGAGCTTTTAGGATTTTTAAACCCTATAAAAGAGATACCTCAGGCATCTTA